ACATCAGCGGCACTAACCCGCACACCAGGTTCGCGGAAATATTCGGCACTGTTTGCGTCAGCTGTGCACCAGCCTTGTATGCGTTTTCCATGACTTTCGTGCAAAAGAGCGAGCTGTATCCAAGCCGTCGGCCACGGCCGCTGTCTTGTAGAACAGGGATGAAAACCGACAGCTCGTCGGCGGATGGAAACAAATTCGACTCCATGTCAAACTTGAAAATGCACCACGACTGGTCAGACAAGTGCGCAATGAGCCATGGGGGAAGACCAGGGCCACTGACGAGGATATATTCCACCGTCAACCCGTCGTCAAATTACATCCCGATGATGAATGGCATCGCCAAATCAACACGCATCGACCAGTCCTCGACAATACTCGATCCAAATACAAACACACATCGAGAGAGCTGGGCAGAAAAGGTGTAGGAGACGTACAGACTAATAATCAATCTGCTTATAAGGCGTTTCCATGGAAAAAAGGCGGGCAAAGGGTATCAGGCGTTAAACATGTATATGGCAACTGTTATGTATATATAGCTATGTGGTTTTGACACAACACCAACATGACTTCTTTTAAGCTGCTTGCGGAATTATTAAGATTGAGCAGGAAGCTCGGCTCAGAATCTCCCCGTCCCCACAGAACTAGTCAAGGTAGTGAATATGACGTCGCGGAAGCAAACTATCGATTCTTGGGCGTGGAGAAGCCGCTTTTCTTGATCTTTTTAGCTCTAAAAAAAAAAAAATGATGGCCGAAAAGTGACATCATGTGACTGGTGACTAATACACGACACATGACCACCGTCACCTTATCGATAAGGATATCGACCTCCTCCCAGAGAGACTTTCAACTTCTTCCCCCTAACTTCTTCTCCCCCTCACGGCGTCGTCTCTCTCTCCAACCAGCCCTTTTGCACGCTTCTCGACCTTCAAGCTGACCTTGCCACCGTACCCGATAACAACGCCGCGTCTCACCTGTTAGCCTGCTCGGAGCAGAGCTCACCGTTAAGCTGCCGTCGGGTTCTCGAGCCAACCCCGCTGGCTCCTTCTGCTTTGTACTGGAAACACGCCGAACGATCCCGTAGCTATCATCGACTCATAGCAGGCATTCCGGCCATACTCTTTCGTTTCTCCTTTCCGCCGCAGCTATAGCATCCCTGAAAGCAGCTCTTTCTTACGAGTGAGGTGCTGAGACGTTTTGCCACGTTCACCGCCTACATCCAACAAGATGAGCAGCCCAAAGCGAAGAATTGAGACAGATGTATGTTCTCCACGATGTCAATGATTGCCCTTGGTGCTGGGAAAGAGTATAGTCTAATTTGGTAATATCTCGTTTGGTGGATAATTATAGGTCATGAAGTAAGGCTGCCTTTTTGACTAACAAGCGTCTCTAATGCTTCATTTACTGACTGCGAATAGGATGTACGGCTCCCCGTTAGAACCCAAGCCTGGAAGTGGATAGAGCCTTTCTAGTGCTAGATACAAAACCTGGTGAAACACTCCGAGCACCGAGATACTAACATGACCCGCTTAGGTTGATGAGTGATTATGAAGTCACTCTGGTCAACGATAACAGTGAGTCTACTTAGGCCCTAGTAAAGAATACAACATCCACTAACAAGTTTCTATCTCTATCCAGTGTCTGTGAACCTCTTCCTTTGCGTTGTATAGTTCGGCTGATCAATATATCAATAACTAACCAATCAGTTGCCTCTAGGCAAGAGTTTTACGTACGGTTTAAAGGACCGGAGGAGAGTGAGTTTATCCAATTTCGAAGCTCTGATATCATTCAGCAACTGACGTGCACGATAGCCCCATTCGCCGGTGGAATCTGGAAGGTACACGTCGAACTGCCTGACCAATACCCGTATAAAAGCCCAAGCATCGGCTTCGTGAACCGGATTTACCACCCGAACATTGATGAACTGTATGGTTGTCACGCTGCACTGTGCTTTGTCTTCCCCTATAGCTAACGCATACTAGGTCTGGATCTGTTTGTCTCGATGTCATCAACCAAACCTGGTCTCCCATGTACGATATGATCAACATATTCGAAGTCTTCCTCCCACAACTCCTTCGCTATCCTAATCCGTCGGACCCGCTAAATGGTGATGCGGCGGCAGTTCTCTTGCGTGATCCCAAAAAGTACGAAGCCAAAGTTAGAGGTAAGTTTAACCACTTCGGGTATTACCTAGCTATGTATTCCTACTCTCAGGCTAATAACGGATACTTTAAGAGTATGTTGCCAAATATGCAAGCAAAGATGCTGCCGATGATGCTGGAGAAGACACAGAAGATGATGGTGAAATGAGCTCCGTGGGTAGCTACGAGTCTGGCGGCGAGGAGCCAGCTGGCGAGATGGACGATGTCTAATTTCACCTGTCTTGCTTGGGCTTTGCACTCTCACCCGGCGTATATTGTCCTGTTCTTTCTCTTATCTTTTTGGATCTATCTCTTAAGTATAACTCGGCGTTCTAGCGGTATCACATCGACTCTCAATGGGGTCTATCGCCTCTTAAATATCTTCGCGGGGGAGCATTGCGTCTATGGTGCTCGGATTCCTCTCTCCTGTTGTTTTCTTCTCTTTTTTTCTTTCTACAGGGTCAGATGAAAGCGAGATTGTGAGTTTACCTCTCTACTTCTTGATCCTTTCTCTTCTCCTTACCTTTCAAATATACATTATTTCTTCTCAGGTTACTTTCTTACTACTATTCAAACTAGTTTACTACATATATTAGAATCATTCGGCTATGCTATATTTCTGCTGTTCCAAGTATATACATCTCGTTCAACATAAATTGCCACTCATGAATCTCTTGGTCAATTCCACCCTTCATCCTGCTTGCACGCTCCCCGATGCAGCACACGATGCTTCGGAAGAACCCCATCCCGGAGAGGAATCTGCCAGGAAACCGTCTGCACATTGCTTGGGTATACAGTGGAATGGCCCTTTTCACTAACATCCGCCGTATCAGCTGCTATGATAGCTCCGTTCACTCCTCCCCGTACCCACGCTTCTTCCGTCCTGTTAGGAAGAGTGATATGCGCCAGGCCAGAGACGAAGACAACCCACCTATTCAGCCAATAGTTTAACCAACCCTACGCCCCTAATTTCAAGTATATAACTAGAACCAAGGAGAAAACAACTACTTACTGAACAGTGGGCGCATTATGCAACCCGCCATCGAACTTCGGTGGTAGGACACTGTACTTTGCATCTCCCATGAGTCCGTCTAGAGGGAGAATCGCTGCTCCCTTTGTGCCTGGCTCGTCAGAAACATCAAAGGTACGCTCGAGGGACCAGCATTCCAGTGTCGACTGGCCCTTCTCTGCCGTGAGAGCAGTGATGTTTAGTGTCACTGGGGCTTTTGGCGGTGGTATCTCGGCGAGGGCCAGGAGTGGCAGGGCAAGTATCGATAGGACGGAGAGCTTCATCTTATCAACAATGGCTGGTCACAGGTAAGGATATAATAGTATAGTTATATATGAAATTGAGATGATGTAGCCTACAGGGTCAGAGCAGCCCGGCTGAAAGGCTATCAGGTGCATCTTTCAGGTAGAAACCCAAACGATATAACTATCAGCTAAAGAGTTAGCCAGAGCAGCTAACTAGCTATCGGGTGTATAGCCTGGGCGTCGATCAGAGTGCCACTGTCGTCACTATCTAGTAGGCTAACGTGGTCGTTGATACTAGTTTTAGGGCTATGCTCTGTCTATCTGTTGCGGCTACTTCATTGGAACATTTACTATTTTTTTATCTCGGACGAAAGGATGCTAATCTATCATACATACTTGGGCATCCGCGAGAGTAACGGCGCCCATCACTCTGCTGAGCATTCTTTTTCAACGCCCAAGAACGAAGGGATGCAAAATGGGGAAAGCAATAGAGTTGGAATTTGAAATTGTTTTCAGAGTCAGATTCTGGTGAGAGGGTTAGGGTTGTGGGGGTTGGAGGTAGATATCCCAGCTTGCCATCCGGGTGTATTTTGAATGCAAAAATCTCTAGAGGTAAAAGGGGGATATCTGTGTAGGAAAACAAAAACGAATGGAAACAAGATAATTATCAACTAGAAAGAAAAGGCCAAGGTGCATGGCATGATAAGGATATCTAGAAAATTGAGCTGACGGTGTGTGTATGAATGGAAAGTCGTATGTTGTCGTCATGAAGGCTGATAGGAAAGTCTAGTGGCGTGGCCAGGCGGTGTTCTTATTCGTATGGTTATAATCTGGGACCAAAGGTTGATCTACTTCACCTTCAACACCCCAAAGACGTCGATCTCGTCTTTCTTGTCGTTGTCGAGGTTCAAGGCAGGCCGGGTCTTCTTCCCTTTCCTCGTGCTCATCACAACTTCTCCCCAGTGCTTGGGTACGGCCGATAAGTTGACATTATTCGGATAGTCAGGGTTGCGGCAAGACACATATCTCATCCCCGCGAATTCGCCGGGCGTGGGAGAGGACGACTGGCGAGAAGACTGCGATCTGTGCGAGGCCCTTGGAGGAGACTGCGTTGAGTTGTATGTATCTGCTCTGAAAGTGGCTTGGGTGATGGTTGCCTCTGAACTTGGGATCCGAGATGCCTGGGCACTGCTCTGAGCAGAGGGTACAAAGGGCTGAGACTGGATAGCCCAGATATCGACGACGGAGCTAGGTAATAATACTGTTAGTACTTATTAATATCAAGGTGGGCAGCCGACTTACTCGGACGCTCGCTGGCAGATAGCTTCGAGAGCCTCCCTCTCACGCTTCAGCGTCTCCAGTTCTGGACCCGGAGGAGGCCCTTGGACTGTCCCATAGTTGAACCCGGCCTGGTATATATCTTCATCTAGCAAACGCGAGGACTCGGACTGTGTAATAACAATGCGACAGCTTGTCAGTTCTATGTGCCAGCCACCGACAGGAACCAGCCAGCGACATACCTCAGTCCTCTCCTGGCCCCGCAGGCACGACAAACAGACGCCCATCGATATATGTATGACGGCGGCCTTCGTAAGTATATTAATATAAGATGGTAAAGAGCGATTGGATGCGACTTTAAGGTAGTTAAAGACTTCGATGCGAGGAGGGAATCAAGAGCAGCAACAGCCGGGCAACGGGCCTGAGGAGAAGCCCATTGAGTGGTCAAGAAACACAAGCATCTGGCAGCAAGAGAGAAGCCCGCTTGTAGTTTGTATTATATTATTTTATTTAATGCTGAATCTCCATGACTTTTTGCTTCTTCTTGTTCTTCTTCTCTTTGCACTTTGTTTTTTCTTCTTTCTTGTTTGCAGCAAAAAGTGAGCTGGCAGTGTTTGCTGACCAATCAGGCAATGCTTCCGGTTTTTTTATGGCTGCGATTAAATATCCTGCAGGTTCAACAGTTAAACAACTAACAATCTTGCACGGAAAATACGAAAACACAACTACTAGCCAGGCTATCTGCTGGTGAGCCTGCGGGTGAAGGCCTCGTATCCCCCAAATCAAGGAAACAGGAGGATGTTCGAGTTACCAAGTGCCAAACGGTAGTTATGACCCTGTCGCACTGCATATCTATACGACAGAACAGTCGCTAACACGCTATTTCTAGGGTTTGTCGCGATGAATTGAAGTCCCCAGAGTCGTCCAGGGCCTCGTCGCCAGAGAGCACGGCAGCTACATACGCCGCGACAGCGTTGGAGAGGGCCTTTTCGTCATTTGAAACATTCGATACCAAGCCGACAGCCGCTTCGGCAGGACAGGAGCATCAGACAAAGAATACCAAAGAGAACGAAGAGGATGAGGAGCAAGAGTTTGAGTTCCGGCTCTTCAGCTCTGCGCCTGCTAGGGAGGATTGGTCAACGAAAGGCATCGATGAATTGCAGACGAGGCCCAAGGGACACAATGGAAGCAACTTTAGTGGAGTTCAGAAATTAAAGATCAGGCTACGGTCTCCGTCGCCATCGGCCCGTCCAGCTGGTGATGGTGGCTTTACTGTTCCCTTTCGAGGATGGGACTACTACTTCTCCAACCCAGCGATGGTCATGCGAGCAGTGGGAGATGGCTCGTGGCAGAGTGGAAGTAGGGACCGGGATACGAGCAAACGATTGGAGATGATAAAGGAGACTTTCAGGGATGCGGCGGTGGATGGCGATACCGTTCTTGCACGCGCTGCTTCGGCGGCTTGGGTACGTATATTTTCTCAACCAGGTGTTGCGGTGTATACATTTGCTAATTCTATGCAGCCTGGCTGCCACCTCCCATGGCGGGTAGTGCATATACCCGCGCCAAAGGTGAAATCAGCTTCAAGCACGGTATCAGCCTCAAAGCCTGAAGCTTCTTTGTCCGGGAAGAAGAAGAAGCCAGGCAAGAAGAGGCGGATAGCTTTGCGAAAACGTGTCGTCAGTAAAAAGGCAGCTGAAGAGGCCGAGAGAGAAAAAAGAAATCGAAAGAACAGAGAGCGAAAGGTAAAGAGGAGGCAAAAGGAGAGAGACAAAAAGGCTGCAGCCCGGGCGGCCGCGGGTGAAGGTGAAGGCGTCGCCGATGTTGCTGCTACCAAGGATAAGTCATAATGGTATTGGTAAAATATAAATGAAATCGCTATGGATATGATATATTAACTATATAAATCAAGACAGGCCGGACAGTCACACGTCGCTGATATATCAACTGTACTAAAAAATCATATTAAAAAAGGGATAAAAAAGAGAATATAAAACAATCACAGGGGTATCCCAAAAGTAAGTAAAATATGACCTGTCACTTTGGCCGATATCAAAGCCTCCATAACCTCCTTTCATGGCGTTTGAAGCGAAGTCATATCCATACACCTGGACGACTAGGCTATATTCGGGGAAATAAACGTGTTAATGCCAACCAAGGGTAGTCCAACCTTTATTTGGCAGCAGCAGCTTCGGTGGTAGGAGCAGCGGTTTCAGCCGGTTTAGCGACCTCTGGGGTTTCGGCTGGCTTGGTCTCTGGGGCGGGCTCTCCGGCTTCTGGAGCTGAAGCCGGAGCCGGAGTTGGGGCCGGGGCAGTGGTGGTAGCGTCTGGTGCAGCAGGAGCCTCTACCGCCTTCTTCTCGCCGTCTGTAGTGACCGGTGGTTCAGGGGCGACCTTGTCCTTGCTTGCTGTTCAAGTGTTAGCCATCATTAAACCATATTCTTACATCTGCGCAAAGATTAGCTAGTTATATACCATCTTCAGCTGTAGATGGCTCCTGGGTGCCCTCTGGCTTTGGCTCTGGCTTCGTCTCAGGGGCTGTGGGCTCGGGGGCCTTGGTGACCTCTGGCGTGGGAGTCTGCTGAGCAGCAGTTCCGTCAGTTGGAGCTGGAACCGGAGCTGCACCTGGAGCAGGCGGCGCTGGTGTCTCTGTCTTCTTGTCCTCAGGGGCAGTCGTAGTAGGAGCAGTCTCCGAGGTCTGCTGCTGCTGCTGCTTCTTGTTCTTGAGACGGCCAAGGAAGTTCTTAAAGCCTCTCTTCAGCTGGTCTAGCGCATCTGGGGCTGTGATGGAGTCAATTATTGTCCTTGCACAGGCTCATGAGAGGCTTCGTCTTGCTCCATACGATGTGCTGGAGGTACTTACGAACACCTGGCATCTTGAGCGAGCTTGGTTAGATTTAAGGGGTTCACTGGATCTAGAACCGAGAGCGAAAAGGCCGAAGGTATGTATCCTTTGGAGAGCAGAGAGATGCTATTACCAAGGCGAAACAGGTCTGCGAGGGCTGGCGGAGTGTGAAGAACGTCTTGTCTTAGGCTTCGAGGTGAAGAAGTTGGCGCTTGAAGTTGTTCCCCAACTTCTCGCTCGTTCGCTTCTTCAAACCCTCGAAAGGAGAAAAATAAATACGCGGCAAAATAAGGTGAAACGCCGAGCACGGACCATAACAAACACCGTGCCACGTGATTCCTCCAAGCTCTTTTTTATTTCTTTTCTTTTATTCTTGTATAACTACAGAGTACATAGTACAACATTGTTCTTCTATTGTTCCCCTCCCCATAAAGGACTTTCTTATTACTAGTGCTATGGCAGTAGACTCTTCCTCTCGATTAACCGGAGGAACAACTTTAATTAACTTAAGCTTGGCGATTAGACTCCATTTTCCTTCATTTGTCAAACACTTGAGGAACGGAGAATATGTGGAGAATATAATATATGCTTAATCCACGGATGAAGGGCCAAATATTGGGATGGCCTGCAATTTGGATGATTGACGGCTGCTTACTTCTCCAGTATGCTGTCAGATAAGGCCATCTTAACCTGGACTTTGCCTGACAGGCCATAAAGAGTGCTGGCGTCTTTTAACCAATGGAACAAACAGCTGCCGCAGCCGCTCATCGCACCAAAGGGGTTGATTTCGACAAGCTGGGTCTGCTCCTCAGACATGCTCATGACGTCAAAGGTGAACCCTTCTCGCTTCATTGTCTCCAGCACCAACTCATCAGGTAGTTGGCTTGCAGTCCTGATAATCCTGCCATGTATCTCCAACGAATCACGGTACACCTGCTCGGCCACTTTGGTTGCATTTTCTAGGCTGCAGACCACTAACGGGCTAGTCCATCGATACTGTGATATGGCAGCAATATCGCCCTTAGGTGGAGGACAAAACACCCGGAACTCGCGTGATGGATCCATAAGCTTGTTATAAGGAACAAGGAAGAGTTGTGGCTTCTCTTGACAGGCTTGAAGGGTGTCCAAGATCGCCCGTCTTCCCCTCATGGAAGTACAAAGCTGTACAACAAGATCACGTAGACTTGTAATGGGGTCGGTTCCGTTCGCGCCATCCTTGGTGCTGCAACTATCCAGGCGAAGGAACCATTGCTGGCCAGAACGAAATACCCTATCCGTCTCAACTCCAGCTGTAGACTGCTTCGGGAACTCATCGGTTAGGTCGCTGATGGCAGCATCCCCTACCGACATCCTCGTACACCAGATCTTGAACGCCTCCGTCATCTCAAAGGCCAGATAGCGGGGTAACTCGAAAATATGCCATTCCTGAACCCCCTGTGTAGACATTATCAGAGGCGCCCAGTGCTGGTACAAGGTAGGAAACAGGCTGGGCTTGACATGCTTTAGGTCCAACGTCTCTGGAATCAGTGCGTTAATGTCTTCGTGGGAGTGGCCACGGGTATTGAACTCGTCCGTTTCCCTCCAAGCGTCCTTCGCCTCTTGCATAGCAGCATGCACTTTGCTGAACGGAATGGTCACCAGCTCCATGATGATACAGCTCACTCTTCATTTACCCTTGCTTTTGACGGTAAATCTACCACCTCCGACACTTAGCAGTTTGTGGTGTCCGTAATACTACAGGGTCGCCAGGTCAAGGAAAGAGGGACCTAGTACCTGTCATGTTTCAAACAGGCGGAAGAAGAGTAATATTAACCACCGGAATCTTCCTAGATTGTGGCTTTTAAAAGACCCATTTTCACGGCCTTTTTGCGGCCCTGAATACTTACTATTATTCTGTATCATGTTGTTGTTGGGCCCACGTCAAGTTCAGATAGATATGTTTAGGGCCATGCCCTTCACAGTGATAAGTAAAGCCCCACCACAACTGAATCTCAGAGAGAGCTGTAACATCGAGAAATATAAATATATCCTTTTTTCTGGTTTAATCGCATGAAACACTCCGACACCTTGAGGTCACTTTTACATATCATGTGACTATCTGCCGCTTGAGCCTTTTTGCCAAGACTAGCTTGTCGCCCAATCTTAAGCTTATCTAACCTACTTTGATATTATTGGGCAACTTAGTTAAGGTTAATGTTTGACTTGATTTAATTGGCTGATAAAAGTGGGTTCCGGGTTTAAAACGCCGACGGACGGAAGTAGAGTTTAACCGACAGCCGACGCCCTTCTCGCCTTTTTCTTTTTCTGGACTTTTTATGTACATGAGGGAAGTTGGTGATATGATAGTAAATCTTTCAGCTGATCAGAGGCGTGATGGACGTTATCGGTTAGCCTGGATTTGATAATGTTCGCTAATCATGTTCTAGACACTCAAGGTATTATTTTTACACCTATCCATCAAGTCGCGGAGTATAAACGCCATAGACTCCATACCTTGTCCCGCTTTGAGTGCAAGTCTCCTCGTGTGGCTGGCTTGTTCGCCATGTACGGGCTTGAATGTGCGTCCAGAGGTACTTCGTATACCATCGAGCTGCTTACGATGTGTCCGCTGGGGAGAAGGTAGACTGGCAAGATTCAATCATTCCGGTCAATAACTTCAGCAAACGCTCCTTGTACACAAGGAGAAATGAATACGCGGCGTCAAACGGAGGGAGATTTGACCGACACCCTTTAAAATAGCCGGAATGCGTCGGATGCACGGAGACAAGAGACCCTAGCCCCGGGCTCCATTCTAGATGTTCGTACCGCCTTGTCGACACTTAGCGGATGATCTGATATGGATATATCGGCGGGGTGATTTTGACCCAAAGGATCGCTTGCAGCTTGGGTAGCTAAGTTATAAAATCTGGGCACTTCTCGCCTCCCTCGTCTCCATATTTCACTTTCTATCGATACCTATATTCATATCTAAATACCTATAACATCGTTCAATTCCCTACGCATCCTTTTTTGAACACAACACTAAATTGATATCCAACAATGGAGCGCATCTACCTTCTTACCCACCCCCGCTCTGCCTCTAACCTCCTCGTCCAGATTCTGGGCTTGGAAGACCAGCCAAATGTCAAGGCTCGTCCACACGCTGGCTATTATTTCCTAGATACTCTCATTGCCCTTGGCGATATGGGTCTCCGAGCCAAACATGTCGACGAGTGGACCGAGGAAGAAAGGACCAAGGTTCAAGCAATGTACCAGAAGGGATACGAAGAAATGATGAAAGATGTTGACAAGTCGAAGGAAGAAGGCAGAATCTCGGTTGTCAAGGAGCATGCCAATGTCATCATTGGGCCCAGCCATCAAACAAAATTCATGTTCAAGACCGACGATGTTAAGGAGGCACCACTCACCCTCGACGTTGCCCAGGGGTCCGAGGTTGTCCGTTCTCCAGGAAACCACACCATCTTCTCTGATGAATTCCTCCTTACCTGGAAGCCTGTCTTCCTCATCCGCCACCCAGCTCTCATGTTCCCATCCTTCTACCGATGCATGGATGACTTCAGAAAGATGCAAAAGGAAGAGATTGGTACCACCGGCTCACTTGAAGCCGGAAAGCCTGATCTACCCATCTACATGAGCTTCCACAACATCCGGTCCATGTATGACTGGTACAGCGAGAAGCTCAACCAGGTTGGATCGTCTTCCACCACTCAGCCCTGGCCCATCGTTATCGATGCCGACGATGTCATAGCTGATGAAACCGTGGTCCTCAAGCTGGCCGACATTATCGGGCTGGACCGTAACCACCTCAAGTTCACCTGGAACCCCGTCAGCGAGGAGGACTCAAAGAAATACAACCCCATGGCCAAGCGCATGCTGTCCTCACTTAATGCTTCAAATGGTATCATGAAGGACAAACTTGCTGCTAACATCGATATCGAAGCCGAAGCCACCAAGTGGAAGGCTGAGTTCGGTGAAATCGACGGAGCTAAGATGCACAAGTGGGTGACTGATGCCATGCCAGACTACGAATACTTGAAGTCTCGCCGACTTACCGCATAGGCGTGTTGATCACCAGCGGTTAATCAATAATCTCTCCCTTCACATCATTCTTCTCTTTTTCTTTTGTTTAGAATGTATTTGTTTTGTTTCATTGCAAAAAGAAACTAGAAAAAGAATTTTCATTTGTTTAATGTTAGGATGAAATGAACAATCAATTATTAACCCATTTATTCCCTTAGCTCATGAGAGGCTCACAGTAGGTCTCTACTTCACCTTACGTGTCTTACCCTGATTAATTACACGGGCATCAACTATCATGATTCTATTTATCACATTCACCACACATTTCTAATATTAGTTTCACTCGTCCTCCATAGTCATCATCGTATCGTCATCTTTGACAAGGGCCCTCCAGGTTCCGAGCTTTAGAGCGGGTACCATATTCTCGTGCCATCCCAATATTGGAGGATAGGGTGGGAATAGCTCGCGGAATTGGAGATGGAATCTCATCATTATCGCTAACGATGGGTGCAGCTGTAAGTATCTCAACAGCTCGTGTATCTAGGCTGTTGGCTCATCGACATGTAGGGAACCATCTATATAGGAACGCATCCTGACGCAAGACCGTGATACGATATTATGAGAACCGTGAGGTATTTCAGAACTAGCTGACCCAGACAGTTAACGCGGGACAAGGGAATCGTGTTGGCTGTAGAGATTAGAACGGTTCGAGTCGAATAGTCGAAGCTGTCGGAGGCTCATGGTTACGGGTGAAGAGACTGTTAGACATGAAGATACACTATTTTCACCAGTTTATATCTACGGCTTTGCACTCATCCAGCGCCTTTTACCATCTAAACTGCTTTTTTATCTTGCTACATATCCATGCAGTTACTAAGCCCCCTCCGTGTGTTTCATCACAGTAACAAACAAGGCTGAAAGCAACATTTAATAATAAATAGCGCGGTTGGTTCTGTCAAAGAGAAGATCCTTTGTCTGCCTCTTCATCCTCCTTCGCCATCGATATTTACTGCAAAGACTGTGTTTTCAGCTTCGTCAGGACCAGGAAACGTCGATAGCCCATGGATCCGGTGCTGGTTATCGGTGGCTGCGGTGGCCTCGGCCATACAATCATCAAGCAGCTGCTTCAAAAGGGGGACGCCTCTGATATCACGGCACTCGATATTACTACCAAGCATAATATCGTTCCGGGAGCAAAGTATATCGAAGGCAGCTTTAGCTCTCCAACCGACATTCGAGGCGTGCTCGAGCAAGTGAAACCGCGGGTGATATTTCATACTGCGTCGCCTCTGTTGATGCAGCAGAAGAACACCCAGGAGCTCTACGAAAAGGTCAACATCGAAGGCAACCGTGATCTGATCCGGGCAATCCGAGAGCAAGAGGCCAAATCGGTCAAGGCCTTGGTGTATACGTCCAGCTCGTCCGTTATCCACAATGGCTTCTCCCACATCATCGAAGCAACCGAAGACCTACCCAAGGTATACTACCCCGAACAGCCAGAGTTTTACTCCCACACCAAAGCAGTCGCCGAAGACATCATCTTGGAAGCAAACCGGAAGGACGGGCTGTTGACCGTCGTTATTCGCGGCACTACCTTGTTCGGTGAAGGTGAAGACGGAGTGATACCCCATATGATCGATTCCGCAAAATCAGGACGTAGCAAGATACAAGTTGGCAACGGTGAAAATCTATTCGACTTTACATACCATGGAAACGCAGCTTATGCGCAAGTCCTCGCAGCAAAGGCGTTGCTAAATGCATCCGGCTCGCCTGACCTACCACCAGAGGACCGACGGGTCGACGGTGAAGCATTTGTAGTCACTAACGATGAACATGTTCCATTCTGGAGCTTTGTACATGCTGTGGCTGCTGCTGCTGGGTACCCGGTCGCAAAGAAGGACATCAGGGTAGTGCCGTGGTATATCTTTTATATCATGGCCGTGGTTGCAGAGTGGGCGGTATGGTTGACCAGCCTTGGAGCTCGGGAATCGAAACTTAACCGTAAGATGGTTCGATACCTTACCATGACGCGAACGTTCGATATCACCAAGCTCAAGACTCGTCTGGGATACCGGCCTCAGATTGGGATACACGATGCCATCAATCATTCTGTGGAAGAGTATTTCAAGAAATTCCCTGAGCAAAAGAGAGGCGGTAACTAGATGTTCAAAAGAGTGGATAATGGCATTTGATGCATAGATGTATACCATAATGCTTCGTAACTCTAGTGGTCTTAACTGATCTTAACTATCAAGATAAACTAGCAAAGGCTATGCTCCACATCTGACATCATTAAGCGTTTCTTCCTTCCATCGGATGATCGACGAAATATTAATAGAGAATTCTGGAGGAAGATGCAAAGCTAACTGGATAAAATTAATTGAAACAAATCTATATAGCATAATATTATTACTATTATTAAGGAGTGACATTAACCCTGAGTTCCTTCATCTTCCATCATCGATAAGCGCTTTATTTCGTTAAGACAGGCACTTCGACAGCCTATTTAAATCCACAGCTGGCAGGGCTGGCCGCCTCGAAGGTGACATCGATTCTTCCGAGGTGTTCGGCTTGGTTGTTGGTCAAGGCGTCCATGCCGGCCTTGGCGATGTTAAAGCCAGTCGCCTTGTCGATGGAGGTAACGAAGATCGATTTGTTGAGGACAGGCCAAGTGACCTTGAAGCACTTGCCGCAGTTGGCACTGTTGTACCCCTCGACGGCAAAGGAGCCACCAATGTTGGGGAAGTTGGGGAGAGATCCGGCGGTGGTGAAGCCCTTGGTGATAAGGCCGTTGATGCCGTCAGAGCAGGCTACCTGGGTGAGACTGAGACCGGCATTGTCGTATTTTGGGTCATAGCTGAGGGTGACAGTGCTGGTAATAGCAGCAGCAGAGGAGAGAGAGACCATAAGGCCGAGAGTAGCTGGAATGGTGAACTTCATTTTGGCTGGTAGGTTGGTTTCGAGTTGGCTTTGTTTCCGTGAAATGAGAATAACTTTTTGAGGGTCGATATTATGGAGGAGATAGATTTGTGATTTGTATTCTGTTGGAATTGTGTTGTCTGATGAAGAGTAGAGAAAAAAAAGCTGGGGATATGGTTACCTAGACGAGGTTTATATAACTTTTCCCGGAGCTCTCAGCATTGAAGGTTCAACATGGCCTTCTAGAGGCCGGCACCCCGTAAGTGTAGAGGAAGAGATCTGCAGCGAGGGATCCATGGCTCGAAGCCGCCAGTGAACGCCTCCATGTCTTGCAAGTTGCTCCTCCATGCACGACCAGTTCAGCCCAAAGTCTTTCGATGCGGGGCAAGGGAAAAAAAAACGGAAAGCGACATGTACGGAGTATAGTTTGAAACATTCGCAATCAGGAAGAAAGCAATGTATACAAAGTGCTCAGGGATCTGGTGAGACATTCATTGCACTTGCGCACAAGGAAGTATGCTGTCATCGAGAGTTACTCCCGTACAGAGAGCGGAGGGAAAGCAATGGATACAGCCATACCACCAGGGTACATGCTTGCGGAATGTGTCGGGCTGGCTCTGAAGGAAGAGAGACATAAATCCATCAGACCGCAGCAAGTAGCAATATAATCCATATCCTCTCTATCCGAGGTAGCATCGCAGCCCATCTTAGCTGGCAGAAAAGAAGAAGCAAGCTCCAAGATCCGGTGACACGGTTGCTGTGGGCGCTCGATGGAGAGGAGCTTGACCTCTTCCTGTGATACGTTGGCAATATGGATCGGCATCGTTCTCTGGCTCTATATAAAGCAGCCTTTGCTAGCGGATGTCTCACTCTTCGATTCCAAGACCCATATCTTCTGCTGCACCCGGCTGTCGGCTGTGGGCATTCCGCTGCGCCTGCATGGTTACATCTTTATCAAAACAGATGCTAGGAGGAGCGCATAAAACTTGATCTTGACCCTGAATCCATGGTCGAAGCATGCTTGTTTCTCATCGGACTGAAATCTACCATAACTTGGATGTCTTTTTTTTTGGATGTTTCTTTTTTTAGGTTTTGGTCAATCTGTGGTCACGTGTATGTCATGTGGTCGCTTGATCGGATTTTCGGATTCTGATCTCCGGATGAGTAAGCATAACCACTAGTTATATAAGCAGAACGCATCTTAACTTTCTTTTTTTGTTTATTCCAACAACCACGAAAAGTTGATATCAAATGCGATGTTGCTTTTGGCAGATTGAAGGACTGAAGGAATGATATGCGGTCTGTTGGTGGTTGGGCTGCTGGAGCAACCGCATGGCCACTGCAGGATTCAAAAAAAATAAGTGAGACAGGCAGCACAGAGCGGTCAAGAGTTTGTACCAGTCCCACAGCTCAAGAGCAGAGGTAGCCCTGATTTACGGGGTATGCCTGTCTACATACATAGTAGTGACAGGGAGTGCTCCGTACTCCTGGACTTTACCAAATTCCCCAGCCTGGTGAGTGGTAACGGTCTATAATCTTGGCACTTTTAGATCATTACCTTATCACAAAGTTCCTAAGATTGTTCTATTTCGTATGTTATTTAATAAATATATAATCTATTAGACTATCTAACAAGTGCATTTACCTTTACTATACTGTAGACGGCCCATGATATTCATATATAGGCATCAGTAAGCTAGCTTTGGGAGAGGTACACAATGTAACCTGCGCAATCCAGATTCCTTAACTAATAAAATCGTTATAGTTTGTATACACCTAGAACGACACACCCATATATATGCACCAGCACCATCCTACAGGCTCCAGCTTCCTTAACGTCACCGCCAGCATCGAAAAACAACCCGAACCCCTCTTACCCCATAGCAACCAGGGATCACCCCACCATACCTTCTCAGGTGCTTCCTTCTACCGAGCCAGCAACATTCCTTGAGTCCTCATTATTCTCGCGTATTGGACCAGGGGCTAAGCTGCCATCTCCCGCAAACGTCCGTGAACAGGGTGTGGTACAAGACCCAACATCAAAGGATCGTGGCTTTGGCTTTTAACCCGTCCTTTTTAAGCAGCTTGGTTTCATTGTGAAGTATGGGCGTGCTCTAACCGTCGCTGAGGACCAATTACCCTGGGTGCTCCCTTAGGTCTTACCTACTATACCTATCCTAGGAGTATATGCTGGACCCATACTATGTAAAGTATATTAATCTATACTTATAAAAGTAACCGTGAGCCACTTGGTGATATTATTTTTACTAATAAAAACCGTCCCCCCGACATTCCTCTCTGTTGCTCAATTTCACGACTAGATACTAATAGTAGTTAAGACAGGTATTCGCCATCATTAGCCAGGTAAAGAACTTTCTGAAATCCCAGGACCCTTTCGAAATAGTATGCCAGGTGATGCCGAAGTCGTCTTTACACACGGTGATCTCTGTCTAAGCAATATTATGATATCGGAAGACTCTAAAATTGTCAGAATCATTGGCTGGCGGTAATCAGGATGGTATCCAGATTACTGGGAGTTTTGTAAAGCTGAATATACAGCCAAAGTCAATAGTGAATGGCTGGACCTGTATATACCGCTGTCTCTAAACAAGCCTGCCTGTCTCGAAGCTTGGGAGTTTTATACTACTGTCTCTACAAGGCATATCTTCTGGCGGTTTGTCCACTGGGAGGCCTGAAGGCGCGGTGGTGGCAGAGTAGACAGGGGCCTCTGCCACGAAACTTATACTCCTTCACAACGCACGCCAATTACATGAAGAGCACATTTGACGACACCGATTTACTTCTCTCGATAGTTAGGGTACGAGCATGTTCCTTCAGAGGATGCTGGTCGGGCACAGTACTCCATCATGCTGCACGTATGGCCGTGGAACTATCGACACAGACTGAGTCTGCCAACCAAGGCGAGTGGCAGAAGTCACTGAGGATACTTATGAAGCACTCGTTAGATAGGCGAAGGAGTTCACCAGGCGATGCTTGCTTTTTCTTCCTACACGGAGCTTTCCCCGGTAACTAACCAAGGGCTCCCTCACCTTCAACCCCACACAGTTTTCCGGGCGAGAGCGAGCGTCGCAGTCGGAATGGCAATTCCTGTTCTCTGAAACCAGACAAAGCGTGAAGGCCAGTCGATAACAGCTGTTTGACGAGACAGTCAGGATGGCCACCGGGGCTCGGGATGTCACTCAGCCTCCACCGTCAGAAACATCTCCATTACTGGCTGATGGAGCGGGAGCAGAGAACGGCGGCCCTTCGAGCGAGGGCGAGACAAGCGGTACGGGCCTGCCTCTGGTAGAGGAAGCCAGCTTTCGCGAGCTCTTAACTATCTTGACCAGCACTTGGGTCGGGGTGTTCTTCGCCGCCTTAGGTATGTCTGCTCGTGTGTCAAGGAACGAACAAAGTCATCGCTAACTAAAACATCTCTGAAGATGGGACGATTGTTGCTACGATCTCCGCCCAGATATCCTCCTCGTTCAACTCACTGTCGCTCATCTCATGGCTCGCCACGGCCTACCTTGTCTCGAGCTCTGCCTGCCAGCCCATCAGTGGCAAGCTGACAGATATCTTCTCCCGTCGAACAGGCCTGGTCATATCTAATATTCTCTTCGGAGTCGGCAACTTGATCTGTGGCCTTGCTACGGAAGAATGGGTCATGATAGCTGGACGTACGATCGCTGGCATGGGTGGAGGAGGACTGACTGCTATATCTACCTTCCTTACCTCTGATCTAGTGCCGCTACGGAAGCGAGGTATCTGGCAAGGCATTGGGAATATCTGTTTCGGGATCGGAAGCGGGCTTGGTGGCATATTCGGTGGATATGTGAATGATAACTGGGGATGGCGATGGGCATTCCTCATCCAGGTACCCTTTGTCGCTGTCTCTGCTATTCTGGTGTCAATCTACGTCGATGTGCCGGTGAGAGTCACGGATACCTCTCGATGGAAGAGGATAGACTTCCTCGGTGCCGGGACTCTGGTCTGCGCTCTGGTTCTGTTTCTGCTTGGACTCAACTCCGGTGGTAACCAGGTACCGTGGACTCATCCCTTGGTTCTAACCACTATCCCGCTATCGGTTGTGCTGCTTGTCGCTTTCATCTATATCGAGGACAAGGTTGCTGCCGAACCGATCATCCCTATCCGCCTACTCATGGACCGCACTGTTTTATCTTGTTGTTTGACTAACTGGTTTGTTACCATGGCTGTCTTTGCTCTCTTTATTTACATACCCGTCTTCCTACAGGTACAAGGCTACACAACCACCTTGGCAGGGACTCGGTTAGTCGCTCAAGCGCTGGGCACCTCCGTCGGCTCCTTGGGATCTGGATATCTGATGCGTATGACCGGACGTTATCTATATTTCAACTATGGCTCCGTCATCCTCATTGTCATCGGCATGGCACTGATATGCACCGTCAACCTGGCAACCCCGGCCTTTCCACCGTTTCTCTACTTGTTTATCTCCGGCCTAGGGTACGGTGGCATGCTTACCTCTACTCTTGTCGCCATCATCGCAGCGGTGGATCACGAGCACCAGGCAGTGGTTACGTCTGCCTCGTATGCGTTCCGCAGCACAGGCAGCTCCATCGGTATATCAGTTGCCTCAGCCGTCTTCCAGAACCTTCTCCGGTCTGGCCTTTGGTCCCGTCTCGGACACTTGGGCGATGCAGAAAATATCATCCGGAAAATCACCGAACGGTTCGAGGAGATCCGTCATCTTCCTCCGGGAATAGCGACGATTGTTCGAGACTGCTACATGGGCTCCCTACGGGCTGCATTCGTGACCGCTCTGGGCCTTGCTGCCATGGGTGCGTTGGCGAGCTTAGCGATGAGGGAGCATAAGCTACATATGAACCTGGCCAGGAAGGACTGATAAAGCACGGAATAGTCAAACGATAGATATAGAATATTTACCAGGTAGCTTGGATTACATATAACAACAATTTCATTGTCTTCCGATATTTATGCTTCACTTTGGTGGCGAACCAATAAACTTCCCTAAAGCCATCCTCCAATATGATCAACCGAATCTCCAATCTTCAATCTTCAACGTCTCGTGTGTTATCCTACCTGCATTCAAAAACTTCTCAGGCACGATCTAGGCTGGACCTTAAGTGCAAAGGTATGTGAGCGCGCTGTCTTTTCTTTTTCTATCTTGCCTTCTCAACTGTGGCTGTGGCGTCAAGCTATGACGGTGTGGACTGCGAGCTCAAGTTGCTACTCTTCAGATGTTAACACTGTCCATCATCCGGTTACGAATAGACATCCTTGCGATAACGGCCTCTGGCTCTCTCTCGAACAGACGGCATCGCTGCGTTATCTCCGTTTTCCCTTGGAATGGGCCTGCATGCATGGCCTTGCAGAGGACCCTGAAGAGATGAGCGAGTCCGTCAGCCCAAGGAACGAATAGTTTTATAGTAATACCACGTCGTGCATGGAATATCTGCAGCTATCAGACGATTATTTTTAGTTTACTGGCCAGTAATAGCGATTTGGGCTGGAAACCCGGCGCCCGGCCTTTGGATACTTCGTCAGCGCCCACCCAAGTCCCATGCAGATGGCGGTTGGGGTCAAACAACTGTTCAACGGGGAGCGTTTGGACGCCAACACAACGTCAAAATTCAAAATTATGAGCCCTGCGCATATAAATTCCGGTCCTCGAGATGCAACTCCCACAGCAACAGCGAGCTACGACGGCGATGAGAGCGCATACGATATACGGCTTGAAGACGGCATAATGAACGGGAGCGATAGCCCGCCTCTGCTTGGGCAGATTGGCCAGCGGTCCAAGCGAGTTCTTCTTTCAACCAGTACGCCGTTCGCCGATACGATTGTCCGTTCACTATATCGAGATCCCGACGTCGAGCTTCGATTAATCGTACCGCAGGGATTGAAGGTTGGACAGAATGAGCTGGAAACGGTCAAGTGCTATGAAGACGCACCACAGCGAGTTACAGACACCACCAGCCAGCCTTTGAGAGCACAGTTCAACATGACGGCTGCGAGTCTTGCAGATTGGGCGGATCTGTTGATTATAAGCCCCATGGATGCCGGAACGCTTGGGTCAATGGTTTGTGGATTAACTACGAGCCTTACACTGACTCTGCTGCGAGGCTGGGATGTTTCTAAGTCTATTATTCTTGTTCCAGGGATGACCGCTCGCCAGTGGGTTGCGCCTATCACGAGAAGACATCTTGACGATATCCAAGTCTTCTGGCCGTGGGTGAAGGTGCTTCCTCCTATTCTTTCCAAGTTCGAAGCCCCAGATCGGCTTGTGGAGTTGCCCTGGGACGGGAGAGAATCGTTTTACGACGAGGTTAGAAAGGGTCTGGGGTGGTCTGTCAGGGTAGACAGTGAAGATGTCCCTTTGCACGAAGTGGAAAGACACGAGAAGGGAGACGACCAGAGCAGGCAAAACGGGACTGTCCTCCCCGTTGCAAACCTCCAGACAAGTCATAACTTTTCTTCGCAGACTACGATTACACAACCCACTCCGACACAGCCTGCTCTTCCTTCCGAACTGCTGTCTATGATATTTGAAGCCCTGGGTGACTGGGAGACCGCCGCCGCCGTGGGCGTTTACACTCGAATACCAACCCCCGATCAGTGGAAACCCCTAATACCCCGATCACAATCCTCGCAATGTACCCTTGAATATGCAATTTTAAAACGGCCGTTCTCCGAAATCGAACAGTACCTCTCCTCGGCTTCACCATGGAAGCCATTGTCCATGTTATCTGCACATCTTATCCTCAAGTTTTCTCGCATAGATATATTAGACTTCATAATCAAATCTAGATCGGATATCTTCTGGTCTACACCACGACTTTTGAACCTCCCATTCCGAGCTTCGGCTATATATGGCAATACAGCCCTCCTTGACTGGTGGCTTCACTGCACCGAACTGCCAAAGAAAGATTACCTAACAGATGCAATGGACTCAGCTTCGCGCGCTGGATTCATCCATGTCCTCGAATGGTGGCGCAATTCCGGTCTACCACTTCTGTACACCGAGCGAGCACTCGAATCAGCATCGGCAGAAGGCCACGTTGCCGTGCTATCTTGGTGGAGAAATGCATCTGAATGCTCCCCCGAGCACGCCCTGCCGTTAAAAGTTGGTAAATCCGTTCTTCTCGCCGCTCAATCCGGCAAGACAAATTCCATAGCCTGGTGGGATCAGTCTGGGATACCGTACTCATATACTGAATCCGTGGCCCGCATCGCCAGCACCCATGGCCATGTCCATGTGCTAGAACTTTGGTATAAATTGAAGGGGTCCAAAATGATCTTCGATAACCAGGTTCTCGTCGGTGCCACGAAAAACGGGCATGTGGATGTCCTCGAATGGTGGCGAAGAAGCGGATTGCACGTCGAGTTCAAGACATGTGATATTGAAGAAGCGTTAGAGGATGCAATAACTGGTGCAGAGGAGCGTGTGCGCCAATGGTGGGAGAGAAACGGTTTGAATTTAGGAGTTGGAACCAGTGAGTGGATGAAAGTGAAGGTTTTATGAGCTGATATGTACCCCCAAACAGTACTTAGTAATATTTACTTCATTTACCATCATATTTTTTTGCTAGCTTATATAAGAGGTGAAAGGGTACTTAATTTAGCATGTTACCTTACATTATATAGAGGATTGATTAACGCCTTACCTGCGAAATTGCTTGTGATATTGAAGGCACCATGCCGCTTTTAGGGTGGAACCATTTCACTGGGATGAAATCCCTGCCGCTTTAAACCCACGCTTGACCCACTTAAATCCAGAACCTTAATCAAGTTATGCTTAATCAAGATAAAAGTTATAAGAAAGCAGAGAGAACACTTTAAGGAATATACCGCACCAAGGTAGATGTAGAAAAATAAGCACTAGTAACGGAAAATATGGGAAGTGAAAGTATTGTAGGTCTAGACGTTTTTTTTAGTTTATATATAACTGTATATATCTAAAATATATCCACAACGAAGGGAGCATGGCTCGGCCACAATAAGAAGGGATGGCTGGCAATTATAACAATTGCCAAGGAGTTCCAGCACTCTTTCCTTGAAGTAATATAAGAAAGAAAAAGAAAAGGGAAAAAGGAGAGACTAAGAGGGGTGACCTTCAGTATTGATTCCTGTCTTGATCCAATCAATGGGCCAGGACGCTGAAGCGGATTCCAAATGGTGGAACGCACCAATTTATTTACCGCTGCCGTTGTAGATGAGCTTGTTGGTGGTGCCCTGACCGGGGTTCTTGATAACAGGGCGGGCCATGTCCTTGATGGTATCGCAGAGACCAGGGCCGCCCTTCTTACCCAATCCAATGAGGTAGGCACCAATACCGCAAACGTGGGGAGAAGCCATAGAGGTACCGGAGAGCACAGCAGTGCCGTTTCCTGGCTTATCAGAGGTAATATGCATCCCGGGGGCGAAGACATCGACTACATTACGAAAAGATTAGTTTCGATATCACAAACAGTAGGGCCAGACATTCTTACCTGCTTGTCCCCAGTTGGAGAAGCTAGCCTTGGTGTCATCTTCGGCAGAGGCAGCAACAGTACAGACGGATGGCTCGGAGGCAGGGGAGTCGTGTTGGGAATCCGCCTACGGGACTATTAGCAAAGTAACTTAACATTGAGATAGATAAAGTCAGGCTCACATTATCATTACCAGCAGCAACGGCCAAAAAGATACCAGCATCAGAAATGGCCTTGGCAGCTCGGTTGGTGGCCTCAGAGCGAGGTCCGCCAAGAGACATGTTCATAACAGACTTTGATGCCTTGGAGGTGCTGTTGCCTCCACCAGAAGCATCTCTCATAACCCATTCCATACCCTTGATGACTCCAGAGTTGGATCCAGAGCCATTACAATCAAGGACCTTGACAGCGATGAGATTGGTCTTCTTAGCGACACCAAAATTTTTCCCACCAACGGTTCCAGCGACGTGGGTTCCGTGGCCGTTACAGTCTGTATCCTGATGGTCGACGAAGTTGTTGCCCCACTTGGCACGGCCCCCGAAATCACCGTTATTGACATCGATACCAGTATCGACAATATAGGCCGTGGTACCCTCACCGGCAGATTCATCGTAGAAGTATGTAGTACCGCCAGGCTCCTTGGTGCTAAGACGGGAAAGACCCCAAGAAGGAACGTCCTTCTGTTCGGTGATAGAGGACAACGTCACCTTATAGTCGGGCTCAATGAAATCAACCTACCAGGTATTAGTTAGTCAGCATATCTATGAAGGCCAGGGTTTTAAAGCAGGTAGAGTTGGGAGAGATCTCATACATCGTCATTTTTAGCAATATCGTCAATCATAGCCTGGTCGAATTGGCCAGCGTACATGAAATTACCTCCAAAGCTGAGGGAGTGCTGCAACCCAGCCATAGGCTGAGAATTAGCACCACGGCGCATTGGGCGGCGTTGGTAGGTTCGGCCAACCCAGTCGGTGTGAGCGCTGAAGGTCTCACTAGTCACGCCGGCCTTCATGACAACAATGTAACTGTCTGGGATAGTATCGGCACCCGGGCTGGCCTCCAGGATCTTAGCACCATTGACAGTAGAGAACGCCGCCAGGGCGAGGGGAAGGGCCTTGGTGATGAAACCCATAATGGAAAATAAAAGACAGGTAAACTGGAAAGGTCAGAGGAAAGGAATGTTATGATGGATGAAGATGAGGATGGAAGAAAGACATTTCACAGTGGGAGGAAGGGGCCTAGATATAGACTGCTTGAAGAGCACGTCAAAACGAAGCGTATTCCATAGTCGTGATCCATTGATCGTATGTCCGTTGGAAAACCGGGCAACCTTTGCGTCATCTGCGACGTATTGCAGGCTTGAAACTTCCCCGCCCTGGTATTCAAACATTTCTCTAAAGTTATAAACTCCTGAGTACCACTAGTAGATTGTTTGATATTAGGGATCCTGGATGGGTCGATCTTCGAGAAAAGTGTAACTTCACTTTGTCGCGTGAGGTTGAATAGGAAAGAGTTTCAAGCAAAGACGGCTCATGTCCGTCTCAGACCTGTTGGGTGGAGAGATATTGCGTTATTCCTTCTGGGTATAGACCGCTTCAAAGGAGAGAAACTTGCTTGACGGGTGAATTGGAGAATTCCAAGAAATGCAAAGCTGATCAGATTGTTCCAATACGATGGGACAGCGTCCAAAGATTGGCGCCCGCAGCCCCATATATAGTAACGCTAGCGGCCGCGGTGCGGAGAATTTCCTCTTACACTTGCACAATCCTGGGCTATGCGCAGCTTCCCCGTCTCCACTCCTAGATATTAATAACTATATGGTACATACTATATGCACTGCGTCGCTAGGGTCAGGGACCTTTATGGTCAAACACGAGGCTCGGCATACCTGCAAATGACCAAACTAGCGCTGCCTGCTGCCCAAGTTGACCATCTAGTAAGTAAATAGCGGGCCGATAACAAATAGCATATCAGCCGATAGCCAGATGCCTGATATTCGTCACTGTACGCAGTAAATGACCCGGTACGGTGGAATTAGCATGGAGAACGATCGTATTGCCAGCATTATTCCCACATAAAGACTCACCAGCGTTTCGAGAACTTTTAGCTCCCTCTCGCCCGTAAGCGCCTGAAGCTGCAACGGTTGCTCGCTCGAACGGAAGAGTGGAGAGAGCATTGACACTCGGGCATTTTACCTATTACTCCTCATAAACCATGGGTATCCATATGCTTTTTACCCCTGTAAGATCTGTTAACTACAGATCAACCAATAAAATAGAGAAAACCCTCATACTTGATACATCTCGTGGACCAGTCTCGGGTACGTACCCTAAGGGAAGTACACGTAAGGCATAGGTATATCTGAGGTTTTAACAACAAAAAGGTCCTCACTTTTGGGGATCGACGTCTATCAAAGTTGACTCGGCCGGGTGTGCAAGTCCACGTCCTCGTCATGATGCTGCAAAGGGATACGTCGTCCGGGAGCATATAGTATGTATATCTACATATATGTACCCTGATGGAACATATCCATGATGTTGAAACAGGCCTTCCGATCCGACGAGTAGGGAATTACATTTCAATCGGTATTCGGGTCCTTGGCCTTGGTTCAGCTTCGCAAATAAAGGGAGGATGTTGAAATCCATCGATGTTATCAGGCTGCGCGAACAGAACAAAAATGATAGAAAAGGAAAAGAATTTCAGAAAAGTGGATTGACGTGAGGATGTCATCATGGTTATATCACGTGTTACGATTAAGTTACCATGTGATTATATCCCAAGACTATACATCAGGTAATGTTGACTAAGTAATAACCTTATTTCAACCACCTTAAGTTCTATTCGACAGAAACTACTTGTAGCTGGTTAATTGCTTCAAGTCCTCATAACTGCCATACTCTGCGGGCAGAATCCTTAGTGGCGGCACTGCTGGAATTTCCCTCCGAGATCTATTACATAATACGGCTACTTTCTATAGTTCTCCATACCTAGAGACTGACTATTCGCGTATTATTCTTTTTTTATTCTCAACAACCCTTTGTGGTCGTGTCAAGTCTTGATATCCCCTAGATTAGGCCCCAGAAAAGCCCCTTACTCATTTTTCTGCTATAACTCTCGCCGGACTGCCGACTAAAAGTTCTCGCACCTTTGAAATCATTTCCCTGCGCTTTCGACCCCAGGCATATATATACACCCTGCTGTGCCACCGTTCTTTTCCTCAAGAATCTATACTAAAGCACAGGTTACCAATGGCTACGGGGATTTCATCCGCTATTAGATTGAGTTACAAAGCGCAGGCTCGCAAGGAGGCCGATGCGGTTTCTTCAACCGCTACGCCAAAGGGCTGCTGATCTTTGTCTTCTGGAGTCCTGGACCAGCACAAGTACGTATATCCTAGCACTTCGTATAGATTCAAGTATCCTTGGGTAGAGCTAAGGGCTCGGGGTTAGCACCCTCCGAATTTTCTTCGATACAATGGCCCCTATTGAAGAAAACATGCAGTAAAAACTGAGAAGGAGCGTATATGCACATGCTTCCAAAGCCATTTCAGGAGGAAGTGAGAAGGAAGAAGCAAGACAACTTGAAGCGTACATAGTAATATGGACCAAAGAATAAGCTGGCCGTTTGGATAGGGCAATAACCGGGATCCTCTTTGTTCTTTCACATACTCCATGTAATAGTGCTCTTCGTTGCGGTTCTACCCTACGGGAACAGCCTGTCCCCAGACCGCCCAAGCCAGCCGTTAAATGTCCATTAAATATGATAACTCGCTTCTCGCCTCATGTAGTGCATGCTCACCTTTTGGCCGAACAACTTCTTTTCTTTTTTATACGAGGCTGCCTCACTTTTTACACTTTATATTGAACGACTACTATTTCATGTGATTATGTCTTCATACATAAAAAATTATGGGTCATGTGGCTGTAACCTTATGACTAAGCTTCAAACGTCCAAAATAGTAAATTACAGCTTACTTATCAAATGTACATGTAAAACAAAAATAATACCAAAAATATTATTATAAACCAATAGTTAGCTACTATTACTTGTCCCTATGTATTATAATTACCTCTTTCTTACATCCCGATTTTGTTGCCGTCGACTTCGTGAAAGCGAACGGTATGACTGAAGGTAGTTTTCTTTGAAGGGCATATTGGCTATGATTAATTGGCAAGAAGAGCAGTGTTTCTTTTAAAAAGACAGAAAAACGGCCTACGAGGCTGGGATAAACTTCTCCACATATCTTGCCTTGAAACTAATTAAGAGCCATCTGAATAAACAATGTACAGGCAAAGAGCATCGGAATGCACCCAGTAAACAAGATCATTTCTTCAGCCTTCAACATCCTCAAGAACTACTACGAAACATGTAGTTATCGTGAATGAAACCTACAAAGGCCTTTCTTTACTCCGATGGCAACTGCACACGGATAGTTTCATCCCCCGAAACGCCGTCAGGCCACAGGGATCATATTCAGCCACTTCGACCTTTGCACTATGAAAATATCGTGTCCTCCAGATCTTGGGGAACATTCAATATTCAACTCCAGTCGCTGAGTGGCAGACAAGGTGAGTCAAGATGGCTACTTTACTTGGATTGGGACTGTCTGTCACCTTGACGTTTCTCCTGGTCTCCTATTTTCCTGACTATTCGATATCTGGATCGTTTGCATGGACACTACCCGCTCTATTTGCAGTTTATCTAGTCCTACGAGGATTTTATTTCGTCATATTATACCCTATATTCTTCACGCCATATAGACATATACCCGTTGCTCCAGTAAGTCTCTGGATAATATTGAGAATCAAGAGCTATAAGCATGTTGCTGACTTACATGCAATAAAAGGGCAGAAGCATTTGGAACGGCCACTTTAAAATCTTGCAGTCATCATCACAAGGCGCCCCCAGTGCGAAATGGACACGAGAAGTTCCGAATAACGGACTTATCCGCTTCTATTTCATGCTGAACCGAGAACGGCTGCTGGTCACGTCAACCAAGGCTCTGGCAGATGTACTGGTTAACAGGTCTTACGACTTTGAGAAGACTCGGGCATTGGCTGCATCCATAGGGTGGGTTACTGGCACTGGCGTTATTCTTGCCGAAGGAGATGTACACCGGGTAGGCTGGCTGATGTTCTATCTGCCTCTTACAATCATGCTAGAGGATATGGCTGATTTAAATAAAACAGGTTCAACGAAAGAACTTGAACCCGGCATTTTCGTTCCGTCATATCAAAGAACAATATCCCATTTTCTGGCAGAAATCACTGGAGATGGCTGATAGAATTGCCACGGCTATTGAAAGCCTTCCCGAGAACGAAAAGGTCATTTCTTTTGGAGACTATACCGGAAGGGCAACTCTAGAAATCATTGGCCTAGCGGGTATGGGTTATGATCTAGAGTCAGTCAACGAGCTTCGAGAAGAGTACCGGAAGATGTTCTCGAGACCAGACGCTATGACTAGGTTGGTCCAAAATATCGTCTTCCTGACCTGGCCTGAGATGTTCTTTTATCTGCCGCTGCCATACGTAAATCAGATCACTGCAGCATCCCAAAAAGTCCGCGTTATCTCACGTCAACTTGTCCAGCGGAAACGACAAGAGCTCCTTTCCAAGAAGATAGACGATTCAAGCGGTGATATCATATCTGTTGCCCTTGAAAGCGGCAACTTTACGGAAGAAGGTCTAGTAGACCAGATCATGACCTTCCTAGCTGCCGGCCATGAGACAACATCGGTTTCGCTCCAATACGGAACATATATCCTATGCACCCACCCAAATGTCCAAAGAAGGTTACGGGAAGAGATCCGAGCTAAAATTCCGTCTCCAGGACTAAATAGGGATGCCAATGGGCTGCCACATATATCCGCATCCCTTCTCGACACATTACCTTACCTCAACGCATTCTGCAATGAACTTTTCCGTTTTTATCCTCCAGTCACCATAACCACTCGTTATGCGGTTCGCGATACGTTTATAGCCGGTCAACCCATTAAAAAGGGAACGGATATTATCATCGCGCCACGAGCAACGAATCGTAATCCCGAGTTTTGGGGCCCGGACGCAGACGTCTTTAACCCAGATCGTTGGTTGGCCCCTGGCTGCGCAAATACTGGTGGAGCAGATACTAACTATGCTTTCCTTACTTTTATACATGGGCCGCGAAGCTGTATTGGAAGCTCGTTTGCGAAGGGCGAATTGATGTGCTTGGTTGCTGCGCTTGCAGGGAGATTTGAGATGGAACTAGAAGACCCAGAGAAAGAGCTGGTAATTACGCCTGGACTAACCAACAGGCCAGCAGATGGAGTTAGGGCAAGGCTGAAAGTTTTGGAAGGCTGGTAGTACAGTAACAATTGTGTCTTAGGAGGATAATTCTATGCTATGTAGCTAGGTATGTAGGATTGAGTGGTGAGAATGCTATAATGTCTACCTTTTATTGCGCCCACAGAGCAAGTCAGCGGTTCAGGGCATTATGCGCGTATGCACCAAAGTACTATAGCTAAGAGTAGTACTCATCTCTAAACGCCATCATCCTCTCCATTAATACGCCATTGGCGTCTTCTTCCGTCCAGGCTCGAAGCATACCTCCGCTATTGAAGTCAAATACAGCCTTGCCCTTAATCGGTTCCTCGTTTTGAATCTTATCGGCATCAAGTCGTACCTCAGCTTCAATGCCGATGATTCCTCCCGAGCCCTCTCCTGTCTTCCCCCATCTCGGACCAGCGGAGCGTTGAAGTTCCCCACCAGGGCCAGCAATGGCAGTGATGGCGTCGGACAGTGACTGCTTCGCTTGTAACTTCAGCAATGAGGCAGCCGAGTGAGCAGCGGCAACACGGACAAACGAGTCCCCGTTTCCGGTGCCAGACAGCCCAAGAGCCCGGCGAGATGAAGAGTTGGGGACATCCCAAGCCTCGGCCCAAAACCCGGTTCCAACAGTCGACGTATCACCAATCCTACCCGGTAGCTTGTTGGTAAGCCCTCCTGTGCTTGTGGCAGCAGCTATGTTGCCCCACTGGTCAAGGCATACACATCCGACTGTTCCTTGGCTGAGATACTTTGATATATCTTGAACAGACTTAGCCACGCCGTCATGTTCAATCGAGGCTCCCTTACCCAGTCCTCTCATATGTTCATCCCATCGTTTCTGGGTAAAGAACCATTCGTCTGGCTTGAATTCCAACCCCCATTCCTTTGCAAGAGATTCCACATACGGCCCGCAGAGGTGAGAATGCATGTTTTGCCCATTATCCCTACAGCCATCCACGTCATTTCGTAGTAGAACTTCTCTCGCCAGTTGCACTGGATGTCGAACGTTTTTAAGCATCATGACACCAGCACCACGCTTGACTTCGGCCCGCCTCACATCTTCACATCCCTGGGATTCCGGGAAAAGTGAGCAGACCATCACGGATGCTTCCATCTCATGGGTTCCGATAGTCGTAAACACGCTGCCCCGGCCACAGTTGAATAATTCGTCGTCTTCCATTAACGACACGGCGTGGACCGCTGCATCGAGAGCTGAGCATGGGGAAGTAATCTTTTTATCCCCATTTTCCCCGTCTTGCTTACCATTGAGCATAGTGACGGTAGAGTGGAGGTATTTCAGTAGAGAAGCTCGATATTTCTCATACAGTTCTGGGGGAATATTTGAGCGTTCGATGTTCCCCGCACCGCCATGTATAATAACCGTTGGCCTGAAACGCGGGTGAGGCGTAGAAGACTCGGAAGACACATAAGACACTGTCATGATGCTTGTATTCAGTCAGTTAGTGAAGACGGTAGGTGTATGATCCCAAAATACATCTCCTCCTGTGAGGAATGATACATCCAACTTCTTGTTCGGTTATCAAGCGGGAGAAATAGCCGCCAACTGTCAGGCAGGGGTATAGTCACGTGAGTATAAAGACAGGTGCAGGTGGATGGACATGGGCCATAAAAGGGAAGGGGAAAAAAGGAGCAGGGCATCGATCAATAAGTCCATTGCGGTTATTTATGGCTTTTTCACTGAAATATGTAAGTAATATACAGGGCGCGGAAGGTATTTCTCGCTTTCCAACAATCATTAGCGCCAAAATAAAGAGAAGAGAACTGAGCATATATCCATAGCTGTCTGTAGGTGCGTATTGTACTGCACATGGACAATGGAGCACATGTATAAGGGTGTGGCGGGGCAGGATGAGATAAGGTCTGATCAAAGGGGGGAACCATGGTGTAGGGGTTAACGTGAGTGTAGCGGGAGCCCATGACATCGGAAGGCATTCCCTGGGATTTTCGGGGTTTAATAAATGACATTATTTGAGGGGATAAAAAGACAATATCAGAAGAAAAGGCGGGAAAGGAAAGGGAGAAAGTGAGCATCATCTATTTGTACCCCTGCCCCTGAAAAAGGAGACCTAATAACTCCGAATGAGATGGGAAGCCGAGTGAGGATATGGTGGTAAGGCTAGATCCAAGGCAAAGAAACGAAATGCCAGCTAGATATGTCGGTGTGATAAGTCATGGAGGTAGGTTAGCCGGCTTGGATATATGAGGTCAAGTTGACTAGGCAGTCATGGTGTTTGAGCCGCTGGGTGGTGGTGGAGGGGCCTACGTGCGTCATTAGCAAGAGTAAAAAAAAGATAGGAGAATGATAAAACTTACATCTAATCTGGTGTTATCGGCCATCATTCTCTGGAATCCGATACCGACACCCTCAATGACAGCCAAGAAACAAGCGCACATGATAGCCGAGTTTCGTGCTGCTCTCATTCCACCACGAATAGCGAGCGCACCTCCAGTAAAGAAACCTGCAATGACTAGGGGAACATTAGGAGATTTGTTTCCAAATGAGTATTAAAAAATTTTAACGGTATTGCTCGACGTACTGGCATTATATGGATCCTCTTTCTTTCTTATTCCCTTCACCGTGCAGTCGAATGTCGAAAACAGGCCACCCCAGACACCAAAGTTACCACCTAGAACGGGAGCACGAGCCTTGATAGCTGTAATGGCGCCTATTCTTCGTTCACCGTACGGGCTGTTCCGGAACCCTTTCACGCCGTGCCAGACTGCGCCACCAATCGCCTATATAAATGACAACTGTTAGCTCAACCGTACCAATCGCTCAAAATTGACACGAGGAAAGCAAAAATTAGAGAATATTGAGATAAATAAACGTACACCCATGCTAAAGGCACCGCCGAAATCACTGAGGATGACGTAGGGACACGGGTCGCGAGTGTGATCCATTATGTTGAAGAGGTGTGTGACGTATTATAATATTCAAAGCGGCAGCGATCGTGTGATTCGAATTGACCCTCTGGCACAGCAAGAATAGCAGGCCGGCCTAGTTTGGTGTATTGTACAAGTCCGGCTTTATGTAGATTTTCAATCGAAATCAGGTCAGGTCAGAGAGTGCTGGGATGTCCACTCTGTTGTGCCGGCCACGACCAAACAAAATGTAAAGGAACAAGACAAAAGAAAAGAAGATGATGATTATGAAATGCCCTTCTGCAAGGTCGAAGATGATGCTTCTTGCGCCGTCTTTTTTCTTGTCTTTTCTCTTCTTTTTCTGCTTCTTTGAAGCTTTCAAGATAGGAAAAAAAATTGAATAACGGAATATTCACGTGACATCATGTGACAACTTTCAACCTTTCAGCCTCAAAAAGGACAAAAAAAGTACAAGAAGGCGAAGTCGAAAAGAGAAAGACAGTGAGAATGCTCGATGCTCGATGCTATAACGTAGTATCGTGGGAAGAGTTAGAAGATCAAGTTATATGACTCTTTCGTTTTCATTTTATAATATTGAGCTCGTTTCATATCGCCCTCGCAGGCCAGACGAGCTGATCTAGATCTATATCTAGACGGAATATACATACGGCTTCCACCACACCCACAATGAAAATACCCTATTAAGAGAAAAGACAGTCGAATCTCCGAAAGAGATATAGAGAGAAGAACATGAAAAGATCCGAAATCCTAATGAAAATGGCCACAAAACGATTACACAGATAGGACATCGGATTCGGTGCCAACATCAGAGTTATACATGCATGTCATCAAGAATAACCATCAACGCGTTAAACATCAGCTAAACAACTTCCTGAGGGGAGAAGGCTTCTTCTTTTTCTTCTCTTCCTTATCCTTCTTCTTATCCTTCTTATCCTTGCTTTCACTGTGGGACCGAGACGTTTTGGAACTCTTGGAGTGTTTGGATGAGCGTGAAGTGTGTGAGCGGCGTGAATACTGAGAGCCGGTCTCGTACACGCTTCCTCCAACGTAAGAAGACACTCGAGTTGGTGCGGGGAGTATCCGGGTGCTTCTAATGTCGCTGAGGCGGTCTTGCCCGAACTGCTGTTCATGAAGCATAACACGAGACATAGCCGCCGCTGTGGGCGTGATGAACTCCCCGTCAACTGACGTCCCCACACTCTCGGCCTCAGATTCTGCAACTCCCCTTCTCCAGCCTTCAATGCGGCTCATGCCGGCGTTGATTTCCATCAACTCGTCAACCATAATAGGGCTTTCGACTTCCTTCTCGCCTTCTGGCTTAGAAGAAATCTGTTTGATGATCTTGTATCCTCCAAACATCACAATTGTGACACCGATACCAACGCCCGCTGCAATCATGAACTGTGGGCTAGCCAACAGCGCGAAAACGGCCGGTGCACTAGCTCGTAACGCCGTGAGGGCTGTGGGACCAAGATCCGAAACTAGCTTGCTGATTTCAGCCAGGGTGAGGGCAACAGCGGCCATGGCATCTGGGTTTTTTTGCAGATGTGCGATCGTGGCAGTCACCGAGTGGTGGGCGCAGTCAGCTTCCACGAGCAGGTCCTTGACCTTACCGACAAGGCCGGACATGTCACCAGGCTCTGGGTCGAGACGATCGAGTGCGGACTGATGAAATTCACCGTATGCTAGATCCATGTCGATTTTAGGAAGGGTGTGTGCGCGTGCTTCGCCGTACGAAGGCCTAACCGGTGCCGCCATGGGGAGGTTGTGCTCTGTATGACGACGGGCCAGCTGTGTGTTCGGATGGTAGTCACCGGAGTACTGTGACTGAAGTTCAAATTCGAATGACCGGCGTTTCTGTGACCTGCTCGAGTGGCGACTATATCTGCTTTGCCTGTCATCATCATGATGTCGAACAACCGATTTAGCTCGACCTAGATGTCGCTTTGACGCCGTGGAACGGCCATCTTCGAGGGTGTATGCTGCAAGAGCTCGACGAGTATCTCGCTCCGCCCTTCTTGCATCTTCTGCACCACGGATGACGGCCTTACGTTCTTTATAGGCAGAACGGGCCTCCTTGAAAACGCTGAACAGATGTTTGCTCTGGGCCGGCTGTTAGTAAAAGTACTGGTGGCAAGGCAATGGCGGGACTCACAGTGCTGACGACCTTCCCGGACTTGTCTATCACGGAGATCGTCTGGCCTATAGCGGCGGCCATATTGGATGCTGAAGCCTTTTCACTGAAGGTTTATAGATGAAGACTGGACGGACCAGTACGAACGCCGAGTGAAGAGGCCGTACTACCGGCTTCTATCATATATACTCAATATGAAGCATATATGAAGTGCCTTTATTCAATCTAAAGTGTCGTCTCGAAATGCAGAGTAAATATATATATATATATATAATCCTGCCAGCTCAGAGACCCGGGATAGCATGCAAATATATGAGGCGGGACCGTCTAACTAACGATTCCCGCCCGGTCCACGGCGAGGCCTACCCGCCCACTCTCTGCTGGCCAACTGGCGCCCTACTTTTTCCTTTCTCCTTTCCCTGCCAGGCCTCAGTTGGGCTGGGAAAATGAAGCGGTTGGGCTGCGTGATTGGCGTGATTGCGAAGGGAAAAAAAAAAGCAGGCGACGATGTGGCGGTGAGTTGTGGCGCAGATTCTCGTATAAACTGCAGCACCAGCCACAGTAAAGTGTCGATGATGCAAAGCTGCAGAGACTTTTTTCGGCTGAAGAAAAATATCTTTATCTGCTTCTTTGCCCTTTTCCTCTGCATACAAGCGGTGCTGGTGTTGTGAAAGAACGAATTTGACCTAGAGAAACGACGGTGTAAGGGTTGATATCCTGTGTGGAGTGCAGTGGGCCAGGCGGTTGTTGAACTATTTTAACAAGCATCTCGCCCATGCCTGGCCCACTCCTTTTTTCCCCTCTCTTCGTCTAGACAGATAAAAGGGAGGCTGGGTTATCGGGCGACTATACGGTCAAGCATCGATGATTGAAGCTCGAACAATCGACTCAGCCATCTATTTTTCATCTTATATATATATATCATCTGTCGATAACATTATTCCCAGTGAAAACTAATCATGTCTCAAAACGAAACGCCAGGGCGGATCTGGCAACTATTGAAACAGCTTTCTACCTAGTTCCCGTCCAAATTTCCCTCTACCAGCGATGATACGACAGACTAGGGCTTCACTTAGAAGGCTGTGATGGTCGGTGCTCTATTACATACCATAGGATGACTGTCAGGGAAATCAAGCCAAGTCTACACTCGAGGACACCGAAACAACACCCTCGTTCTCTCCCCCCTCATCCATACGGCACAATGTGCATTCTCATCCCTACAGCGTTATCCTCGCACTCCCATCGCTGAACGAAGAATATACGTGATGGACGCCATTTTATATAAGATTATTGCACAGGGTACTCTGTACACCGCTTCATTATTTGTTCCTCCAAGGTAGCGGCATGACGTTACTGGCCACGTCGGTCTAGCTAGCGAGGGGCTTCACGCTCGGTGGCTATATGTATAAGTGTGTGAATCCAGAAAAATCCAGATGCTCGGCAGGGGGATCAACGGGGTCGTCTGATAACTAGAGCATGCGATATATGATGCATAGAGCCGTGTATACTTCGTTGGAGTGTTCGACGCGGCAGGTTTGACAGTTGGGACCGAGAATGTACCCCATATTTCGCACAGATAAGCCTGAGTGCATGGTGGGTCACTAGCCGTCAAAGGATGCTGGGATAAAACTAACTCTGTACATAGTAGGGGTAATCAAGAGATAAACCTCCAAAGCTTGTGTATTCTGTAGTACATCGTAATATTGTATATCTAGTTGAGCAGCTCAACTTCTGCCCTTTTTCCCTTCTGTAGGTAAGGCAAATTCATCTCGTACCGAGAAAGCTTTGAATCCACGCTACGGCATGTCTACCTAAACAATACGCCAATCATAGGACTACACAAGAGACGGGAGTCGCCTTGCCCAAGCAATATCCCTATCATGCGAGAATGTGTGCCTGATTAGTTGATGTAACATGTATGATAGGGTGTTCCATAGGGAGTACTCCGTACATCGATGGAGTACCTTGCGTTTGCTGCAGGGCCGAATGAATATGTCAACGCATCGGTGTTATCATATTTCGACAGTAAACGGCAGGCTGTGACCGGTGTAATATGCAGGAGTCAGTCCAGGCGGAGGATATTTACGGCGTCCTATGCTGAGAATCCCAGGATATATGTAAGTCCAGATGGATCGTCACAAGCTCGCCATCTCGCCTCATTTCCCTCGTAATATGGGGCAACCATCTCCGGCGGCAAGCCGGGCCGCATAAGCTATCCAGCCCTGCCCGTTATGCCGGTTTCGCCGTCAACACAGATCCTCTTCCACCGGCAATTCAGCAGGCCATTAAACGGGCTCTCTCGGTCACCAGTTGTTATCTGGCATTGAAATCCAAACCGAATACCAAGCTCCCAAGAGTCAAGCCACGCATTGCATCGCTGTTTGAGAAACACGGCCTAGCTGCAGTCTCGAAAAACCTAGTGGCCGGTCTCCTTTTTTTCTCGTCGCCTCGTAGACATTATGCGGTGAAGCTGCACCAGTCGATGTAACAGGCTGGCCGGTCCCTTGAAACCAGCGAATTCCCGCGATTAGCAGTTAATTGGCTTGTCCGAATCCCATTGTGCATCATGCATCGTTGGATTAAAAGATGGTCGAGTGACCATGTCCTACCTCCCATATATTTTCCCTCCGGTGTAGGAAAAGAAATATAGGCGATCGCTGTCGTTAACCTGTCTTTCTCCTTCTTTCGTTTGAAACTCTTCTTTAAAGCTTTTGATATCATATATCGAGCCTGTTGACCTCAATTTCACTGTTGAGTACGGAGGATAACTACTGCATCCATCCACTGCCATGCCGCCTTCAATCAGTCGAACGACGCTGAGGTACGGCATCAACTACAGCCAGTCTGAAGCCTTTGGTAAGTCGATCTCAATTCGCAAGTCCATTCAACGGTCTTGTCTCTTCGTCTCTCTGTCTCTTGTGCTGGTTGTTGGGGTGAAGTTGGTAGAGGGAAGAAAAGAAGTTGACTTGCACCGCCACATGATGTCGACATCGCTTTAAAAGGAGAAAAACGGAAAAAAATTGTCAACTTCTCAACATCATAAGAACTACATATCATAATCGTTGACGCAGAACGTAGTTTTTTGCTGAGTATCATTGAATGACCAGGTTAACGCAGGGTCTGGCCGAGCTTCGTCTTGTATATGGAATAACTGAATATCACTTTGAATAGCTGACAACATGGATGGCTTAGGCCTCAACAGCATAGATACAGGCTTCAGCAAGCTCTCAACAGCTGGAAATACTAGATGGACTGTACAAGATTCTGATTCATCGCCGACAACAGAGTCCAGGACATCCTCTGGAGTAGCACATCGGCTGCAGGCCACTCGTTCGGTCCTCTCACTAGCTATTGGCAGAGACTGTGTATTCGCCGGGCTTCAAGGTGGAGATATTGTCGTATGTACCGTGGCCATCTTATTGATATAGAGCACTGTTTTAAGGCTAACTTTTATATATAGGCATGGTCACTCTCTACTTATGAGCCCATCACTTCAGTGGCAGCACACCAAGAGAGTGTCCTTGGGCTTCATTTGTCCCCAGATAAGGAGCTCTTGTTCTCTAGCGGCGGAGACTCTACTGTAAATGTATTGTCCATATATATGTCACGATTTCTTTGAGAATTAGTGCTGATATAAATGATAGGTCTGGCGTACAAGGACATTCGAGCAGTTATACTCCATAGAGTCACATCATGACCCCGGGGACATATTCACTACTGTATACTCGTCCGATCGAGGGACTGTGTATTGCGGTGGCCAGAACACGAGCATCCAGGTATGGTTTCTATCTTGCAGCTTAAGCATATTCTAGTTTCTTATTTTCTTTTTCTAGTGGTGTGATCTTCAGCAAGGTGATATACCAGAAACACTTGCAAGAAACGCCAATAAGCCGCATAAGTTTTTTGACTCTACAGGCCCTGGAGCTACGGGACCAATCTCTAACCCTCGCCAGAACGGTGTTGAGAACCATCAGGGCCAGAAATTGTACTTTAGGAAAGACCAGCACAGGCTATTTGCCCATAATGGGTATGTATACTGCATGCGACTCGTTCGAGGCTTGATCGAAAATAGTGGCCGGGAGGTTCTATTGACAGGTTCTGGTGACGGCTCTGTTAAGATTTGGGAACTTGGCCAAGGCCCGGATGCGGCACCAAAGGAGCTGTTTACGCTTCAGAATAGAGATGAGTCAGTCCTATCTATCTCGGTCGATGGGACGTTCCTTTACTGTGGCCTGTCAGGAGGAGCAATCAACGTCTGGAATCTAGAGTCTAGACAGATCATAAAAACGATCTGTAGTCATACGGGTGATGTGTGGGCAATCGACATCATTAAAGGATTTATCCTCAGCGGCGATTCAGATGGCACTGTGAAGGTAATCATGCCTTTTGCTGACCTTTAGATATAACCCGTCATTATCTAACATCTCTTTAGAAATTCAACTCTCGCTTTGAGGACCTCGGAACGTGGACCGCCCATGATGGGAAAATGCTTTCTTCTACGTCCGGAAACGTCAAGAATAGATGGATATTTGCCACAGGTGGTAACGACAACACCGTTGCCCTTTGGGATCTAACGGATGGGAAAACCGAGTCCCAGGAAATACCCGCCATTAGCAACGGTATGCAATAGTCCGCTCTATTTGATTGTATATGATAACTATTCTGACCATATCGTTTTCCAGATGAGATGGTAAACACATTGGCGAAATTTATCGGCTTCAAAACTATTTCAGGATGCTCAGATTTTGCGGGTGAATGCAACCAGGGAGCAACCTTCCTCCGCAGACACTGCAAGTATCTAGGGGCTCAAACGAAACTACTCGGAACAGGACAAAAGAAAAATCCCATTGTATTTGCGAAATTTCCCGCTAATTCGTCCACAAAAAAGGACAAATCCATTCTTTTCTATGGCCATTATGATGTCGTCGGCGCTAGTGCAAGTCACCCTAAGTGGAATACCGACCCATTCCACTTAACTTCTCTAAACGGGTACTTGTATGGCCGTGGGGTCTCAGACAATAAAGGACCATCCCTTTCTGCCCTTTACGCGGCCGCAGAACTATACCAGCTAAAGCAGCTGTCATATAACGTTGTATTCCTCATCGAAGGAGAGGAAGAATCTGGTTCCCACGGATTTCAACAGGCCATCCGTGAAAACAAAAGCCTGATCGGTCCTATTGACTGGATTCTTCTGGCTAACAGTTACTGGCTAGATGATCACATTCCTTGCCTAACGTATGGGTTACGAGGGGTGATACACGCAAACATAGTGGTATCAAGCAACCAGCCGGATCTCCACAGTGGAATTGATGGAAGTTCGCTCCTTGATGAACCACTTAAAGACTTGACATTGCTTCTAGGAACAATCGTCGGGCCCAAGGGGGCCATCAACCTTCCTGGCTTTTATGATCCTGTTTTACCTTTATCACCAGCTGAAAAGGCACGCTATGATGCTATTGCCGAAGCACTATTACCGCATCACCCCGAAATTAAAAACTTTGAATCGTTTACGAAATCCCTTATGCATCGTTGGCGCGAACCATCACTTACTATCCACTGCATTGATATCCCTAGCTGCAAAAAGTCAACCACTACTATATCAAGGAAGGCCAAAGCGGCGCTATCCATCCGTATAGTACCGAACCAAGATGCAGACAAAGTGGCAGAGGACTTCATTAACTACGCTCAATCCCAATTTGCCGAGTTCAATTCCCAAAATACTCTTACCGTCGAAATAACCGGAACGGCAGATCCGTGGCTTGGAGACCCAGATAATGAGCTATTTGAAACTCTTTCTCGGGCTGTGACGTCTGCATGGACCAAGCAAAGCAACGGTGATAAGGATTATAGCTATCCTCCGCCAGATAAATCAAAACTACGATCTCGCCCTGGGCCATTCCATACCGATTCCTCGGACAGTACATTGAACATGGAGCATATCCTTACCTCTTCATCCTCGCCCAAGTCACCTGCTTCGGGGCAGAAACAGTACATCCCCACGTCTTCGACATTAGTCGATCCATCAGCCACCTCTACCTCAAATAGCGCCAAAGATGCTCCAAGCCCGGATACCGAAAGAGAACAGTCACCTACATCTCAAGAGAAAGTATCGGGCCCCGCCACTATGAAAGCCCAGACAGGTTATAACGGTAGTAGCCCCATGAAGCCCATTTACATACGTGAAGGAGGATCTATTCCTACCATCCGCCTCTTGGAGAAAGAACTTGGTGCTCCAGCAGCGCATTTACCTTGCGGCCAAGCGAGTGATAATGCCCATTTAGATAATGAACGATTAAGGATCCAAAATTTGTACAACAGCCGTGAGATTTTCAAGAGCATGTTTTCTGGAATTTAGATCCGATCAATTTAATATACCCTGGTTTTGTTTAGTCTTTATTGGGAATTTTTGGGCTGCCATGAAAAAACATGAACGAGAAGATGATTTTACCAATCTAAGCAGTTGATTTTAGATATCTATGTTTAGATCTAAATCAGATACTGCCTTCATCACGTTTCATCCATCCAGAGCGGGGCAACCTATGGTTAATTGCTCTTATTCTACTTACTAAGTATAGACAAGTTGGTTATTAGATTGAAGTCAGTAGATCTGATAAAATTAGTTCGTAGCCCCGAAAAGCCAAAGCGGGCCAGTTTGATACTGAGCATGTTGGCTAAAATTGAGAGCTTCCCCACATTGATTAAAAGAAAGAATTGCTATAAAGTTGAGAATAGCATTCAGTAGCTATAATAAATACAATTATAGTGGTGCTCCAAAACGCCCTTGCCTTGGTTTGTTTCCCTATTGCTTAATGCTCGTTCAACAATTAACGAAAACTGAAGATGAATTATTCACCAAATTCTCTTCGCAGCCATTTCATATCTCTTTACATTTTCGAGGCCATGGGCGCCGCTGCCAGACCCACTTGCCTTTCCGTTCTTACTTTTTTCCTCTCGATCTCGTACTCTCCGCAGCCCTTCCGGGTCATCGACATATATCCACCTTCGTTTATCCTCTCCAACTTCAACTGCACCCCAGCCACCGCCACGCCGACCGCCTTCTATCATATCGCTGTTGCTGTTGCTGTTGCTGTTGCTACCACTGTTAGATAGTGACATGTCCATAGCCACAGACGATGGCACAGTCAAGGCTGACCCCGGAGGTAGGGGGGAAACCGAGCTTCCATATCGTTGCTGCTGTTGCTGGCGCCGCTGTTCCCGTTTCTGTTGCGCTGCATACTCTCGTTCCCGATATTTCATATTCTTGTATCGTGTGCGGGAATAGCCAAGAAGGATCATTCCGAGAACTAGCTTTGCAAGGAGCAAGGTGATGTAGAGGAGTAGGACAAGGATCACAGTGAATATAGGGACGAAAGAGGCGGGGGAAGGAGTTGCGTAGGATACGAACATCTGGAAAATGGAGGAAGCTGCTTGCGCAATTGATGATAGTGAGACGGAAGCTAGGAGAGTAGAAGGAGAAGAGTTGGAAAAGTTGGAGAATATTGAGGATGAAGAATCCGAACTAAGGGCGTAGTGGCTGTGTATCTCGGATAGAGATGTTGCATTTGAAGGTGATGGGTAGAATGGAGAAGAAGATAGCTGCGGTAGCCAGGCAGTCAAAAACATCTGATAAGTCTGCACAGAAACACGGAAGAAGAGACAAGCAAGCGGTATAACTGGGAGTCCGAGGCGACGGTTAAGATTTTGATCAGAAAATGCGCTGCTGTAATAATCTTTGGCGAGAATATCCAGAAACCTGCCATACATTGCTGGCTTTAGGTTGTTGAATTTGCTAATATATGCATGTTTGAGCCAATCGACGACCATTTCGGAGCCAAGAACAACAAGGAAAGGAGCAAGGAGATGACCGATTGCAGGGAGGATGGAATTGACGCTGCTCAGGGAGAGGAATACAGACGACGGGATAAGTAGGGTGAAGGACTGGGGAAGAATGGACGTGGATGGCCGAAAGGCGGTTGTGCTGTTAGTGCTAGTTGCTGCAACGCTTTGGAAAGTCAGGGTATCACCGAGTTTGAAGCCACCCGTTTCAATAAAATTTCGGGATGCGATAATGATCAGCATGAGCCATAGCTGGAATCGCTCGACGACATCCGCACAGGTAAGTTGGAAACAGGTTTTCCTTCTCGAATCTCTTGAAGACGGTGGACTTGATTTCAACAAATTGGTTGGATAGCAATAGGGTAATCAGCGCGTTGGAGTATGAGTTGACTGCAACGTTCAAGGTCATCACCTGGAAGAAGAGTGCCGTTGCATGGATGACAGTATATATCAGGGAGAATATGAACATCCAGAACGGCCGTACGACCTTACTTCGACCGTCCGGTCTGCGTTCCAACGCTTCTTGAGAGAAAAGACACTCAAGGACGTCTTGCCCAATGGCTGAAAGTAGTCGATCTCCAACCTAATAGAAGCAGTTTTAGTCTCAGCCTTTATTTAAACCAGGGGTTTCTCCAATCATACCTCGAGGACGTTATAGATAACATAGAGTTTTATAGCGGCCTGCCCCCTGATCCAGTGGTACATACGACTGGCGTCAAAATACATCAGAATAGTGCATGTGAATATCATCAAGAGCCCCTTGAGGATATCTGCTTTGTCGTTGGCGAGTAATGTAGACGGTATGGATTTCGACCTTCGGTGCCGCCTAGTCGTAGATCCACGACGTCGACGATGTGCGTCCGACCCTGAGGCTGACTCCAGAACAGGGCTACCATCGATCGGTGACGGGTCAATGGGTATGAGATTCGGTGATACATCCTTGATGTTAGTTTGCTTATCATTAGAAGTGAGATCACGAACAGAGTCATTTCTTCGTCGACGTTTCCACATTCGCCCAAGGCCATTGACTATATATGAAGCGACGAATCGAATCTCTAGCCCTAGGTTAATGACCCAGGACTGTAGGAGGATGAAGACAGCCTTCAGAAACTGTAGGGGGAGGAGAGTAAAAGTGTGCAACCATGAGTCGAAACATGCAAGCGTCCCAAAACATAACGCCTGTTCTAGTAGCGGAGGAAGGAGAAAGAAATTCTGCAATCTCTCTAGCATCACTCTGGAGCTCTCGTAAGGGTAATCGTGCGCTCCTGATCGATGTATGTATAGCGACGATGGCCGGTGGGAGGACAGTTCAAGCTGCAGGTATGTAGGTATAGAGAATGGCGGGATTGGAATAGATGCGGGGACAGGAGATACGCTTCTGTTTGCTCCTGATGACCGTACTGAGCGTTCCGGCCGTGTGCCAGTATTTAGACCGAAGGGTGATGGCAGTCGCCTCGAACGGTTGGTCGAGTTGTTATGTGATGGGCGAGCACTTCCATCTGGGGGCAGCTGGACGGCGGCAGACGGTGTCTTGGTTCGAGGACGAAAGGACGTCGGCAACGGCTGAGTTGGGTCGCTATTGACGCAGCGTCCATGGAATTCCAGCGGATCCTGAAGCTGGACATGTTTCTTGCTGGAGCTGGACCGACGGCTTCGAGCACGGCTTCTATTGCGCTCTCTCAACGTCGTCCCGTTTGAGCTAGATCCGGACCTGATAGCTATATCTGCATCATTGAGCTCCTCTTCTTCCTTCAAGGATAAGAGAGTAGCCGTTAATTCCTCGGGTTCGATCTCGATGGGCGAGGCATTATCAGCTGGCTGCTTCTGCATAGATACCTGCTCATCGGAGTTAACTTTGCGCAGACACGCAGACTCCGGGGAAGATGTTAGGTCCTGTAATTTCGCTGGAGAGAGTCTCGGAATCTTGTCCTTGTTCTTGTCTTTCTCAGTACTGTTTGCGTTCGGTGGTTGCAGCGAGATATATGAGCGGTCTTTATTATTCCCGTTTGAAGGCGTGGCATCGGCCGTCCCAGGCCCCGGTATCTGGCCAGCTGTCCTCTCCTTGGCCAAAGGGTCTTGATCCGCCGCATCTTCGGGTCTTTTATCCCTTTGGAAGTCTGTTGTATGATCTGAAAGGTGTAGAGGTGTTTCGTCGATATCATCGCCGGCTTCTACATCTGCCACCGTTTTCTCGTACCGGCCACTGCCGTTGGCACCAACCCCGTCGACATCCCTAGCCTCAGCATTATTACCCAGAAGCTCAATCCTGCAGTCTTCTTCTTTGTGTATTAGCACTGCTAACACCTGCTTAGGGTCTGCAAGCTGCTCCTCGTCATGCTCGTCCATATCGTCGTCTCGTCGTCTGCGTTTATTTTCATATCCGTCTTTGTTTAGAAGAGACGAGCCGGCCATGTCATCCAGCATAGCTGTATCATTTCCTCCCCCATTATCGGTGCCTAGCCCATTCATCCCACATCCATCACTTGTCATACTGCATGGTTCGAGATTCTGGTTGGCGGTGTATATCTTCGTGGCCTCTTCGCCACGCTTCTTGTCCACAGGTTTTAGTCGATTTCTCGCCAGAAGGGTAAAGGGACGAGACAGTAGTTACTCCGTATACGCCGTACTACGCGTGAGCACGTCCTGGTATGCCTCGATAAGCTATATGAGAGCTATCCGTAATCGTTGCGAGTGAAGCTCTTTGGGGTGTTTTTTTATCTTTCTTATCAGATCTACAGCTTTGCTTACAAAGCAGGTTCAAAGGTCTTTACAGCGAAGTTGTCAAAAGTGTAGATGATAAAACAGTTATATTGATGAAAAGATTAAGGACGAGTCCATGTATTCTATCCCGTGTTCATCAACCAGGCAAGCTTTCAGTTTCTCCCCCGCGCCCTGGTTCAAAAACGCAAGAGACACGAACTAGAACCTCCCAAAATGTATGTATCATTACAGCCCCCATGTCATCCGTCATAGGGGTATAAAAAAAGTGGGAATCATTGTAAAAATTTTTCAAGAAAAGAGGGAAAACAAAGTGTGTATTGAAAGGGGGTGAGAAGTATGTAAATTGTTGAAGATCAGAGTCAATGGGCGCATCGGTCATCAAGAAGTAAAATGTCACAGATGAAAATCAAGAATCAAGAAAGGCCTTGGAGGCTGCGAAGGGGTATGTAGAAAGGTGTCTTTGATGAATGGGTGAAGCGGTTTGTATAAAGGAAGGTCGTTAAATGGAAGAATGAATGGCTGAAAAGAAGGGTATATGCGAGAAGGATTGAAGGAGAGCCACATCATGGGTTAAAGTTGGGATATGACCCATCCTGTGTGCTAGTATATTGATGATGTTGTGGTTGCTGCTGCTGCCCATGGTCCTGGCTATTGGTTTGATTGTAGTATCCATTTTGCTGAGTGCTGGCTTGTTGGCTATGACTGTACTGCCTCTGACTCTGACTCGGGGCTTGGACGTGATTATGGGAAGGCAAAGGCGCAGTCTCTGATCTCTGGGGCACATCTTGTCTTCCCGGGTTAGAGTAAGGGGCTAAGGATGGACGGGTAAAATTCCGATACGGTCCTCCACCCATACCATTACCGTTTGTAGGAGGCGCACTTGGTGTTGGTGTAGGGACAGACGGCATTGATGGTATGGAGGATATCGCGGGTCCGTCATATGGGCCGTACCTTTCGCGCTCCCGGTCACGGCTGAATGACGGTGCAGGTGTAGACATGGGCGGGGGAGGAGCGAAGGCAGTGCCAGGACGAGATATAGAGGGAAGTGTTGGTTCAGGGTTGTGTAAGGCTGGGAGATCGGGCATTTCTGGAGCATCCCAGGCTTGTTGGTTATGGTTAGAAGGGGTCTGACCGCCCGCCGTTGAGCCGGGTCCAGGGGTATGTGGCCCTGGAGTGCGAGGGCCGGGTCCTGGAGTCATTGCCATTGGCCCCGGTGTACGTGTGCCTGGGCCAGGAGCTGGCATCTGGGGTCCTGGTGTACGGCGACCTTGACCCATGCCCTGAGCGTTGAACATGGCGCCTGTAGAGACGGACAGCGGAGTACCGTATCGTTCTATGGGCGGTAGCATAGGAGTCCTTGTATATTCACGCTGCATCGGGTCACGTTGGGAGAGTTGCTGGTGCAAGTTATGGCCATACTGCGATGGCTGAGTGTAGGCTATTCCACTTGCATTGTTCACCAAGGACGCAGAGGCGTCGTCTGAGTATCGCGTGTTATATAACGTGCTGGATGAAGTCATGACATGCTCACAATGCTGGTCATGATCATTGTAGTCGTGGTCATATTGGCCATGGTCATGGTCGTGGTGGTAGCCGTCCCATTCAACCTCCGGCAGAGGTGGTGGTCGATCTGTGTTGGAAGTCTGGGGCCTATATGGCGGCAATGTGGTGACGGTCGTCTGGCGCGAGAGAGGTGGTAACTCGGGCAGTGTCGGCTGCTGTGGCTGCTTGGGGTCCATGACAGAAGGGAGAGTGGGTTGGGTTGCGCTACGTTTGACGGAGGTCACCCCGGTCTCGAGGTCGGTGTTTGTGCGTTTCCGATCTTGCAGGACGACCGCATTGGTGAGTGCCTTGTCGACCTTCTTCTTGACGATACGCTCGAGACGTCGGTTGATCTTACGGCGACAGTAGGCCGAGAGGGTGCCGTCCTCTGAAGGGATGTGGTGCCAGAGGAAGAGCAGATAGAGAAGCACGGAGACGCAGAAGCTGAGGAACTCGAATGCCCAGATGACGAGGGTGAAGAGCATGGAGAAGAGAATGAGAGCCTGCAGCGTGTCCTTTTCGGCCAATGCTTCGATGTTGATAAAGAACTGGGTGATGGCCAGAGTCCCCGGAGGCGCAGCGTGCTTGCCAACCGGGATGAGATTGAGCCGTGCTACAGAGTAGAGCGTGATACCGTTGATGACCTGGCGTGGGCCTTGAGCAAATATCACTCTCAACCATGCTATGTTCATTGTGTTAGAAGAAGAAAAAAACTAGATACGTACGTCATGGCAACTCACCCTCGAAGTTGAAGTAGGTGAAAATTGCGACGTAGTCTGCTCCCTTCCTACTCTTTGTCAATTCGGCGAAGACGAGGAACCGTCTCCAGCCAGAGACACGTTTGCTTGTGCGGATACTCTGTACCTTGACGGCGATGGGGTCAAGATAACATTGCGCAACACCACCAGAGTTGATGACCCTAATTGCACGTAACCAGCGGTAGACCAGCAGCACGAGCGAGAAGATGATGCAGCCGGCGAAGATCCACTTGGAGATATCCAGCGGGATCTCTGGCTTGATCTGGCTGGACCAACGGGAGAAGGCGAGCAAGTTGACGGCCGTGAAGGTGTCGAGCGCGTAGACCGCTATGGAGAGCAACACATTGATGTATAGGATCGCATACGTGACAGGAATCCAGCAGGACTTTGTAGTGAAGTCATTCAGGTTCTACCGGGCTGTTAGGCTGCATTACAGACCAGATTAAAGCGCATATATCGGGAGAGAATAAAAGACTCACGATGTAATCCCACTTCTGCTCTTCTCTGAGCCTGATCTCCTCCTCGCGGCCCCCGCAACAGCCCATGTTGAATTATCCTGTTGTATTAATGGAAAAAAAAAGCGACTGCGCAATGAGTGAATGGCAGCTCAACCGCACGTATATGTCAAATATATCAAAATCAGCACAATGCGACGCGCCGTCTCTTCTCTGTTTCTTCTTCCTGAGAGAGGGTGCTCTGTCCGATCCAGCGGACAGATTGGTATTAAATTGGTTCAAAGGAGCGATGGGACATGCATTTATCAACAATGCAGGGTCCCTATAGATAGCTTCTGATCGATCTCGACGTCAGGCTGCTATCTCACCGGCAACGCGCATCCTTTCGGCCTGGAGGGTGAATGCGCCAACTGTGTTGTATAGACGGCGAAGTAGACGGAAACCACCAGACCAACCAAGATCGAGGACGACCAAACGGCGAAACAACCAACAAGACGCCAGTCAAAAAGAGTGGGAGGCCAGAGCAGATAACAAGTAACCAGCTAAAGGAGCGACAGTAACGAATGGCTGCTAACGAGGTTATAATCGTTGGTGACGTTGAAGTGTTGGAAGGTCGGAAAAAAAAGGGAGATTTGAAAGGAGGAAAAGAAAAGAAAAAGGTTTAGCGCCGCCAAGACGTCCCGATCTTCACTTTCAGGGGCCGAAAAGCAACTTTTTTTAACCGTGAATATAAATTTATACTCTTGTGAAGGCATACATTGCAGATGAAGTACGGAGTACCTACGATCAAACAGACCACTTACAAGGGCAGATATAGGGTGATGACATGCATGGCTTAGTGGCCAGCGCCAACAGAGGCCACTCGATGGCTATAGCCAGGGGTCCCGGCGGGGTCGCGATGCTCTCTATTCTGAAACATGGAGATGGAGCTGTGGCTGAAACCCTCTGTGCTTCGGCTGGATGGCGGTGCGAGAGGGAGACATATACCCATATACGACTGTAAATGGATGATGGTATGAATATAAACGGCGGTCAGAGCCCTGATCAGCTTTGCATGGCCGCCATGTCTGTGGGGGAGGAATACTTATACCAAGCTGTATAGAGTGCTTGTTGAAGAGTCGAAGTTCCATGACTAAAGTATACTCCGTACCTGGTACTCCATGCAGAGTTCGCCCCTGGCTATGGCTGGTGATTAGCTTGATACACGTTTAATCTATGTATATCACGGCTGCTGGGTTGATGCTCGGGGAAGGAGGCCCGTCTTAGCCTTGTTTGGCTGAAGGATGATCTTCTTCATCTCCTTCGCTCAGCGTCTTCTTTTCCCGTTTCGATGTTTGACTGACACAAAGATGAGCAGTCCAATCGCTGGACGACGGCAGGCCGGGATCAGCAGGCACACCCGTCCAACCCATGGGGTGAATCACCCGACGTGATGTCTTTCTATAATCAACAAGTGGGTGGAGGCATGAGAACCTCGATCTGATCGGCTTCACCTCCTAAGCGAGGGGGAAGCTAGAATAGACAGAATAATACGTCACAGGTAGGGACCCTCACGAAAAAACTGGGGAACTATGGAGTACTATCCCATGGCTTTACTATATATAAGAATAACCATCACGCGCTACTAGTTGATATTGGACCAAAGGCCCCTGCTGGATGCTAAAATCCCTATTCCTGCACAGGATAAAGGTGAGTCTTTCACTACAGCTCCCCGAAGACATTTAAAAGGTTTTGGGTGGTACTGGCACGACAGGTTATTTCCTTCGCCCTACGACGGGCTTGAACCGATAATCTATTGCCTATAATCGCTCGGATAGTCACTTTTTGAGGTCTGATGACCTCCGATACCCCACGGTACTCCTGCAAAACCGACGAGATTTACCCGATCCAGCCTGGAAGAAGTTTATCTTCCTGTTAAATTAGATAATCTATCTCTTTGCCGCCTGTGCCGGCTCTCCTTTTTGGCCAAAGGCAGAATATTTGATGCTCACACTTTTTTCTAGAAGGGCTAAAGGAATATTCCTTTTCCTCTTCTTCATCCCTTCGTACTGAAAAATGCCATTTACAATTTCTCTGATACTTCCCGGTGACGGTGAAAACACATCTACCGCTTATTATCCCTATTTAACATCTCATAGGGAGCCACCTATCATATAGTTGGCTGCCAAAATTATACCCCTAGCCCCAAAAAGTTCAACCTTCCGGCCCTATGCATGATCTTACTATTTTAGATCATGTTTGTTACACTCCTACTGAAAGCTCTTTTAATGAGATATATCACTACCAAAAAGCAAAAAGACGGATCTATTATGAAAACAGAGTGTAACGGGTGACTAATCAAAACATTATACAAAATAGCAAGACACCATCGCAATACTGAGAATATAAAGACAATCACATCAATCACGTCGACTTCACTATCCTTCGTAATTATATCTCCGTCACCAGGCTAGTTATGGCTTCCTTGCCCTTAACTAAGAGCCCTCCTTTGTGGTCAGGAAACGTGTAATCCTATTACTCAGCTCTACCAATCAGCAAACTACTTTTTTTATATAGATATGGAATAACACACCATGTAATAACATCACCAATAGGGACAACTATAGTAGCCCAAAGAAGGGATATTGCACGGCGGAGAGCCGCAGTTTCGTGGAATTGTGGCTCCAACAGCATAATCCGGGACACAACGATGGAACTGGTCGCAGACGTAAAACCGCTCTTCGGCTATATGGCCGCAGGTGTAGTAGTCCGTATAGTGAGTACACATGTTCTGCATCAAGTTAGCAACTAAAGATATAGTAAGGAGATCGTGGGATACTTACAGCGATTGCGCAAATATACAAAAGGTGGCAATTGATAACGGGCTTGATAGTGGTGAAGGCTTGGATATGGGAATTATTGTAGACTCTTGCTGGAAATATGGGAGGTAGATATAGACATTTATATTGCCATATAACCATCCATCCAGGAAACTAGAGCAGCATTGATAGACGCAAGGCATTTTGGGGCTTAGCTTCAGCTTCATTTCCTACACTCTTTCTCTACATAGACATCCAATATCAAGAATGAGATTTCACCTAGTGTATAGCCTTCTACAGCCTGCCTGGTTTTCTAGCGTGGCGTTAGATCATAGCAAGCAAGCATTTAGATGCTTTGATGTAGGTTGCCGACACTGCTTTGAGCTAGAACATTCGAGACATAGACAACTAGTTATACATAAGTTGGGGATATCAAAAAGTTCATGCATGATATATTCGAGCCTCCGTAGCTAGTAAACGATTAACTAGTTATGGCCCTGTCATTCTGGCTGATGCCTAACAGAGTTTTGCCCGCAAGAATTAGGCTCGGCCCTTAGCCGCCTTCCCGTCAACGCTTTTGGATGGCGGCGTAGTTGACTTGCAATCTGCGCCCGCATTATGGCGTAGCTAGTTAACTAGTCTACAGAGTCAATCAATCCGCCTTAGCGGGCTTACCCTCTACAGGCATGGACTTGCTGTCAGTGTCATTGGAGGCAGCAAAGAGTAACTACATACGATTGGTTGATAACTAACAGGGTAACTAGTTACTAGTTAACTAGTAACTAATACTTCTACCTAGGCTACGAACCCGTTTCTTCCGTTTTCCTCTCGTCTTGTATGTTCGACAGGTAAGTTATCGCTGGCCTCCTTCAAAACTGTATAAGAAGTTCTCGAAACTCCAACCACCTCTCTTATAACTAACGGTTCTATAGTAAGTCGCCCGAGGTTCATTCACCGCTACCACATACGCCCACAAATGCCGCTCCAGCTTTATATACCTCCGTGTGTTCACACACCTACAGGTCCATACCATTTCCCACCGCCAGAAAAGCCACTCAGAATCCAGATCGAAGGCCCACTGGTTGCAATTCAGCGTCTCTTCCCAGACGCGCCCTGGCATATAGACGTTGCAAACCAAATATTTCCACAGCCAGCTGGCATAGAGCTGGCAAAGTTAACATATCAAAAGATATACGGGAAAGATATCAGTCCAGAAATCCCCGGTGATATGGTGTTGCGGGATCAGTACTTAGGCTGGGTGCCACCACCTTCTTGCAAGTAGGTACTCATATTTACATTAGTGAGAAGAGAGACCTGTACCTAGGTAGTCGTCATAGCTGATTCCTTGCCGCGGAACTAGTGAAATTGACTATTACGGTGTGACTTTTGATCATCTTGTCCCAGCAGACGATACGGACCCCGAGGTGCTACAGATTAACATCATCGAGATTGAAAATGATAACGGGGCTTATGCAAACCAATGGTTGTCATTTAGAGTAGATCCAGTCGAGTTTACTGGGAAGAAAGTACTGGCTGTACCAAGGTGCTGTACAAAGAGGAAAGGGACAACAGATCGGATACGGGTTAACGAATGTGTCCGCTGGAGAGATGAAGAAACGAGCAAGAAAGGATAGGACGAACTTTCAAAGCTCTCTATGTATTAGAAGGAGTTGGTGTTTTCATCTCGTATGTTTAATTCAACGAGCCATATGGGCCTTGAGTAGAAGTACATTCATATACTCGATTATCCACATTAACTATTAAAGTAAAACTTCAGAATACAGACATTCCCATGGGGTAGAATTGCTTCTATTCTTGTTAGCCTTTTTTATCCTTGTAGTCTAACTAACCAATTGTTCCGATAACTACCCTCAAGCCAGCATGGGCAGCTCTTTTTGACAGGAAATCTGCAGGACCTCCCAGTGCGTTTCTACGCCCAGGGATAGATGTGTAATAACACTGCGAACTGTTCGTACGCCTTCATTGTCGCGAGAGCAGGCTGCGTAGTAAAGACGACGACTTTAGATGAGTGTGGGTCGGCATTTCTTCTTTGGCCGGCCCATGGCATGACTCGCTCGTACATGTGGATATATGCTCATAACCTCGATGGGCTGTCGCCCTCAAGGCCCTTGAATCTGACCTTATGACCGAGTTTTTTCATCTCTTGGAAGAACGTTTTACCGTCTTTGGTAACCTGCGCATCATCGATGACCTGCTCAGCAGGTACTTGAGCAATAATATTTTCCATTCTTAGGAACTTAGCTGAAAATAAAGATTCATTAATTTAGCGGAGAAGTTCGAGAAACGTGGCATACGTTGGTTTATGACATACCGTCCAAGGCCAATGATACCTTATCTTCGGCTTCCTTGCGGCTCTGACAAGTCTCAACAAGAGCAATTGCCAGAAAGACTGCCGGTTTTGAGTAATACAGGCCTATCATGGGAGGGTCAAAAAGCCGAGCCTGTAAGATATACCTGAACAAGTCGTCTCTCTTTTCCTTTTTCTCCCATTCTACTTTCCATTGGTCGACTTCGAATTCCTTGATGCTGGGGGCTTCGATACCCATGATCTGGATATACTCGTCTGCCCCCTGAAGAAGACTGAGGCGGTATAAAACCAAGTTTAAGAGGTCTAAAGTGCCCTGTTCGTCAAGTTGTAGTTCGCCTTGCAGATACCGGCGCAATCTTGAATGTATCCAAACATTATTGCTAATGTTATCGGCGCCAGGCTTTGATGAGAGGTATTCAACAGCTCGATGTCTCAATTTTCGATCTATTGAGGACTGAAATGTTATCCATCTGCTCGAGCCCAACTCAGGGCTGTTGGTATCGCTTGGTGAAATGATGCGGAGAGTCTCCCACCTTTCCTTGAAATACTTCAGGGGAAAGCCTTTACGTTTTCCACAGCGTGTCTCCCATTCATCATTTTCGGCCGAGAAGTGGATATATTGCTCAGAATGGATGTTGGAAATCGATTCCAAGATAGAATATGCCAAATCCATATAAGTCGGATGCGTAAGGACATCCATCCTGTCTTCGCCCTCTTCCTCGATTTCCATGACGGACCACAAGATAGCCCATGCGATACTACTGCCGCAAGCTCGGCCAACGCTGCGGCTAAAGGATGAAGAGAGTGTTTCTGTTTCGGCCCTGGAACCAGTGATGCCATTAAGAAACCGTGCCGTGTTAGCGTTAGTCTGGGCTAGCCAACCCCCAGAGTAACAGGAAGCCGTGAACAAGGTCACTTTTGTCTCTTTAGGGATAACATGAGTAAAGTCTCTCATGAGCAGTAAATGGTATTTGTTTGGGTTTTCCGTGAGGCTGCCGAGGTGTACTCCATATGTGTCGATATCTCCATGGCTGAAAATAAAAACAATGAGTTGTTCCTGTCGTTCGGCCGCTACAAGAGCTTGTTTCCGGAGCGTGGACAGGAAACGATCAAGAAGATCTGGACGAGGAACTACCTGTATGTTTTTCATATTCCCCAGGGTATCTTTATCTAGTGTGACTCTTCTCTCTTTTCGGGGATCCCCATGTGCATACTCGCCGTATTTTCGTACTAGGTCTTCTGGGTTTTCAACCGTGAGCCAAACCTGGTTCTTTGCTATAGCACTCTTGGGCGATAGTAGATGGTGGAATAAATAAAAGTCGCTAATACACTCATCGTCGCTTGGTGAGGCTTGACCCTCATGGTCGGTCACACCGCAGACAGCTACCACTCGGCTGCTTGGTGATACGTCTGGGGGACACGAGATTTTAAAAGCCATGTCTGCTAAGGCCTCCTTCCGTACCTTGATGTGTTCAACGGACGCGAAGGGCTTTACCCTATTGCAGGGGCTCAAGGCCATAGTTATGGGGTTATGGACGTCACCATGCACTTTGATGGTTGATTCAACATCATATCATGGGCAATTTAAGAAACCGCCAGTTTCGAACTTCGATCACTTATATAGGATCAATGCCCTCCAGGGTAACAAAATCGTCACATATATGAAGGAATACACGGCAGACATGTGGAAAGCTGAATCCTATGATACCGGGATAAAGAAAAAAACATAAAGGGAATGGACAAAGAACGAGAAGATGGCCTCTTTATATTGTTGCGAGTGAATATGGCTGAGTGACGTAAATCATACTCAAGCCATTCTCACAAAGTGCCTGACGTCACCCAAGGAAGAATAGTTTATAAATTGGTGCAGCAACCTCTAGCAGCGATAAGATCCACGGTACGGAGTACTAACGGAGTATAAGCCTGTGAATAAGGCTGCTCCGGTGACATCCGGATACGTCGACAAAAATGATATCTTTGCAGGTGTAGCTGCATCATCCATTCAGTTTAACTAGCATAACTATATATTCTACGACACGTTACCACCATTACCATTACAATATTGGCTCTCGATCTCGGAAGTTGTTTAAACTTTAGCCTCATTAGCTTGTCACTTCTAAGCTTCGACTAACCCCAAACTCTGTGTATTATTCAGTTAATGCACCAATTAGCGATATCAACTATATGTGGCTCCACCAGCGAGGCCGGCTTGCTGTCAGATTCTTCCCAGCCCAGAGAAGAATATATGGCCTTAGAATTCAATATGGTGCGCATGGCTAATATATTAGAAGACAGATTATAGTTGCATTCCAACATCACTGGAGAAAGCGCTTGATCAGACTTTCCGGCTGTTTGCCACTTTCCAGCTCATCTAACCATTCGCAGATCATTTTCCGAGCAAGATTATGGAGATCGCAGTTCTCAATAGCAGCGTCGAGGTCTGCTTCGTTTCTACTGCTTTGAAACACGCGCACCCAGTCCGGGCTTTCTCGCTCCATCTCCGCTAAGAACACCATTCTAAGTTGCGTCTGCTCGTATTCGAGCAAATGTATCCGAAATAGGTTTTCCCCGCCCTCATCTGTCGTATAGCCATCCCTACCTGGCTTCTCCGCACGATGTGATCCCTGCAGAAACCGTGGAAAACGAGCTGCCTTCCACAGCGGCACTGTTGATGTGCATTCCCAGTCGGCGATGCCTTGTAGTTTCCCGTCCTCGTCCACTAGGATATTATGCATAGAGAGATCGTCGTGTAGTAATACTGTTGATATAGTAGACTTTTCTTCCCCAAATATCAATCTAATAGCCTTTGTCAGGCGCTTAACGACAGGCAGTGTCTTCTGCGCTTCCTCAATATCATCCTTGTCCTCAGACTCCCTTATTGTCATCTCGCAATCGAGCCGGATGAATTGTAATCTTGCTGAAAGCCACTCGGAGCCAAGGTCAAACGGGCCCCTGGGAATATCGTAGGTAAAATGATTGCCCCAAAAGAACGACATCGAAACGATCCTACCCAGCACAAATCTTGCAGCCTCACACTTTTGCGAATTTGACGACTCTGTCCTGTCGGTAAAATTGTCTAGTCCCGTAGCAAAATAGAGGTTTCCAATCCCAGATAGCCTCCTGGAAAACAGTTTAGCAGAGTGACGGGCTATATCTGCCGCTAGTTCTTCCTTGCGGGCCCAGGTCATGGAACCCCAGACATCCGCGAGCGGTCGACCGGCCATCTTTTCCATCAAGATCCATTCGAACCTAAGCTCATTTGCATGAGAGGAGTCGTATGCTACCACCCTGGGAACCGGGAGCGATGTGTTCTCTCTGACCCAGGCCAGAGTAGCAACCTCGCTCAGGGTCTTGAACTGAGGGTCTACTGGTAGAGTGACTCGCATTAGATAACCGCCTGAGGCTGCATCATTTCCGTATTGCACAACATGGTATAGCCTGTTAAAGGCTCCCTGGCCAAAGAAGGTAGCGTTACAGGGCAGCGCGAGTGCCTCGCTGGCTATGCGTTCAACCACTTTGATATCAAGCTCACAAGTCCAGCGAGGCTCAACTCCAAATAGAGACTCTTCCCATCTAAGGCCTGGACGCGAAGTCATACTATCTTAGGCGGTTAAGATCAGTGGTGGTCCAACCAGCTTGGAAGACAGAATGTCGGCCCTCAGAAGTTTGTTGGTTGGTTGACTCCTCCTACCTTAGATCACTAACTAGTTACTATCTCACACCAACCAACATCATATATCTCCTACTCTATGTGCTGAAGTTCAAGTACACAGCCCATAACAGTGAGGAAGATTTTTTGGCCAACAATGACTTGTATCTTTTTCGAAGTAGTGCAATATCTGTATATCTCAGAGATTTTAACGGAATCACATCCGTGATCAGAGAATGGCAAGTATGGAAAAACTTGAATCACTCGGTTTGCGGAAGACATGGATGAACAATAAGGTTGAGGCATCAAGGACTTGTTCTATAAGACCAGGGCACGGCTATACCTGCTCTAGTTATTAACCGATGACTCAGATACCCTGCGATATATCATGCAATAAAGTCTAGGAAGAGAAATACGGCGCTTAAACAGAATTCTTCGTCATGAGTTGTCTTCATTTTTCATAACGAGCTAAAAGGGATGTGCGTATGTACGGTGAGGTAATATATAACAGGGAAGTGAAGAATCGGCTGGGCGACCCCAGGCCGTACCAAGCCTTTCGTTCTCCGGATATCTCAATATAATAATAATACCCGTGGTGTTCTTGCCAGCATCTTTGTAAGGGTAATAACTTAGTGTCCGGCACGGAAAGCCTGCCAGGCCTGGGCAATTCTGGAGGCCTGTCCTCGGGTGAACTGGTTCATGCAGACGCTGGGGGGGAAATTATTAGCATGGTTCGTTGGATATTAAGAGGTAGTAAAAGCAAGACTTACTCGTAGCTGTAGTCCATGTAGTTGTGAATAGAGTCAACACCGCCGCCAGGGCAAGAGTCCTGAGAGTTAGGGCAGCCGCTGGTCTTCTTGGACTGTGGTGGAGTGTCGGCGACCATGTCGGCGTCAACGCAGGAGCCGTTCTCGCTGAAGACGTGGTAGAGACCTGGTGGGAACCATTAGTGTTGATGTCTACTTAGAAGACTAGGGAAATGCAATAACTTACCAAGGAAGTGACCGACTTCGTGGGTGGCAGTCTTGCCCTGGTTGTAGTTGGTGGTCTCACCACCAGGGACGGTGCCAGAGCGAACCATGCAGCCATCCATGGTGATGGTGGTCTGGCTTGGGTTGGCGCGTGGGAAATAGCAGATCTATTGTTATTGCTGATTAGCCTTTTGTTTGTCGAAATCACGGATAAGACAAGACTTACTCCCAAAAGACCGCTGCTGAGGTTGGGGATGAAGTAGATGTTGAGGGAAGAGTAGGTGCCCATGTGCAGAGCGCTCTTCATGCCGGCCTCGTCCCTACCGCTGGCCCAGTTGGCGTTGTTGGTTCGGGTGGCCTTGACGAGTCTGAACTGGACGCCAGATGGGCCGTAGTGCTGGTTCATGGCGTTGATCTGAGCCTGAAGCTGGGAGTCCTGTAGATGTTGTTAGCAATTATGGTTCCTATAACATCCTTCTCTGGCTAGAGCATTCTTACGGGGATGTTTCCGGTAGTGCCGCTGGTGAGGACGTGGAGGTAGGTGTCAATGGTGATTCCAGCGGTCAAGTCGGAGGTGGCCTCGGGACCAAGGGCGGCGAATGCCTCAGAGAACTCCTTCTCATATCCACGTGGTGGGACAGCACCACAGGTTCGCTCAGCAGAGACGATGGAGCCGGCAGCCGCAAGGCCGGAAAGGAAGAGGGACAAACGCATGGTGAAGATAGTTGAGAGTATAGAGAGATATCTCGAATGACTGTCCTTTGATGAAATCCAGGAGTGAGGAAGTTCAGACTCGGACACATCCATTCATTTTATATTCCTCCAGCCGGTCCGCCCCCGCCGCGGAAATTGATATTAGATGAAGGTAGCATTGAGAAAATGCGGGCTCACTGGGCTGCTATCTCGCATGAAGCCTTGGCCCCCGGCTGCGAACCGTCACCGGGGAGGGTATATTCTGCACCATGCCATCTGGGGCAAGCTGAATCCGAACATAGCCGTGGTCGAAAGGTTCTAAAAAAGAAATGTAGATGTACGGGCTAGTAAAGAGCACACTCGACAAGCCTTCTATTGAATGTACCGGATATTAACAGCCGGGCGGAGGCAGAGAGGAGACTCTGATGGATTATGGCTGCGGGAGGCCCTGTTGTTTTGACCGCCAGCTGGCTCGGCTACCAAGGGCTAGTGGAGCTTGATGCCATGCCATCACGCAGTCAAGAAGGGCCACGGGCGATACGACCGCGGTTGAAGTGGTTGGGGAGCACGAGATATCGAGTGTTCAGTGTTCAGTGCTCAAGTCGAGCATCAAGAGACAGGAGACACATTCTTATATAGATATAGGTGCTCCAGATCGTCACCCGTTGATCAACACAAACAAACGCCATATATTTCTCCCTCAAAGTCGATCAGAGTCGATCATGCTCAGGACGAAACCGCGGGAAAAAGGGCTAGAAAAAAAATAGCCTGACATGAGTTCATGGCGTTCCCCCCCGGCCGTTTCATGTCGAAGAAGTCTGGGGTACATGGCTGCAACCCCCTGAAAACACTATTTAGACGGGAGTTCGTTGTAATGCCAGCCACATAGCAGCCAGTTGTATGTCGTATCATGCACTCTATATTCACACATTCATGTGCTAGCCGCAGGCTATTTGCGGGGTGGCATCAGAATGGTTGTTGTTGAGAGTTGAGATATCCGTGAAGGAGTTTGATATTGACTTGGGACGGCTACAGGGACTCGATATAATGAGAATAATATAACTCGACAGGTCCCATAGATCGAATATTCCACTTCATCAACTTGTTCAGGCTGTTTGAAAGTGTTTGGAAGCTCTCGCAGCCAAGCCGGCTGGCTGACAAGCCATGCTCAAGGCTTTATTTCGATGCCCCTGAAACTGATGCAATACTGAACACCAGTTAATACTCTCTATGTCAAAGCAGAGACGTCTTCCGTCATTTTAATGTCGAACCCGTCATATTCCCCGGTTTAATCTCCTAGGGAAATCTCCTGAGCCAGGGACGCCGGAAACAAGTTATGCTCCGTCCAAATATTCAGACTTTGAACAAAACTTTTCCTCGATATTTCTTCCACCACAATATTTCTTCCACTACAATATTTCTTCCACCGCGACCTTCGTTTAAAGGACAGCAAAGAGACCTCACAGATGGAGAAAAATCGTACGAGACGGAAGAATCCTTCGCGGCAGACTTCCTTGACTATTGGGCCTCGGCGCGCCCGGGTTCTGTTGGAATCCTTCGTGGTACGCGTGGAGCTATATTGCTGCGGATAATACATGAAAAAAGCTCTTTTCATCACCAAAATTCTTCCTCTCATCGATAATTAATTTGCTAGTTGATTGATTCATATATTAATTTCATTCCTATTATTATCGATCATCGATAATCAACCTCTCTGCTGCCATGGGTGCGAACCACCACAAGCCCAAGTCCAGGGCCGATCAGGCCGCCGCAACCAAGTTCACTGACGGCGCCTCTGATGAATTCGAATTTGGCGGCTCGCTCGGTGCTTCTGCGCTGATGGTGGGATTCCCGCTGCTGATGTGGTATATGTGGATAGGCGCAACATACCACGACGGCGGATTCCCTTTGCCTGAGGCCGGTCAGAGCTGGCTTGATTTCGGCCGTCATCTCGTCCACCTGGTGTACGAGGGAGCCTATCCGACCGCCAAAGCATGGGCTGTCTATTGGACCTTTTTCATTGTAGAGGCTGTCATGTACTGCTACATGCCTGGCGTGTCTAGTCACGGACGGCCCCTGAGGCACGAAGGCGGCCGCAGGCTTCCCTACTACTGCTCCGCATACTCTTCGTTTTATGCGACGCTCGCGGCTGCTGCGGTCTTGCATGTCACCGGCCTGTTCCCCTTGTACACGCTGATCGACGAGTTTGGATCGATCATGACCGTCGCAATCCTGTCCGGTTTCCTGAACAGCTTCATCGTCTATATCCAGGCTATCGTGCGAGGACGGACCCATCGTCTCTCGGGATACCCCATCTATGATTTCTTCATGGGTGCTGAATTGAACCCTCGGATCGGAATCTTGGACTTTAAGATGTTCTACGAAGTGAGGATTCCGTGGTTCATCTTGTTCCTTATCACCTGCTCCGTGGCTGCTCGACAGTTCGAAACATACGGCTATGTCGCGCCTGAGGTTGTGTTTCTGGCCGTGGCGCACTACCTGTACACCAATGCCTGTGCCAAAGCTGAGCAGATGATCATTACTAGCTGGTGAGTCGGTGGCTACAGCGGTATTAGAATATTATATCTAACATACTATAGGGATATGTACTTTGAAAAGCTGGGTTTCATGCTCACATTCTGGAATTTGGCCGGTGTGCCCTTTACCTACTGCCATTGTGCTCTGTACTTAGCCAATCATCATCCGTCCGAGTACCGGTGGAACCCCGTTGCCTTGTCGCTGCTCGCCGTCGTATACCTTTTCATGTACTGGATGTGGGACAGCGCCAACGGCCAGAAGAACGCATTCCGCCACGAGGCAAGGGGCCAGCTCATCAAACGCAACACTTTCCCCCAAGTACCATGGCAGTCCATCAAGAACCCCAAGACCATAAAGACCGATGCAGGTGACCACCTACTGATCGACGGCTGGTTTGGAATCATCCGAAAACCAAACTATGTCCCAGACATGTTCTTCTCCATGACCTGGGGCCTGCTCACTGGCTTCAAGTAAGTTTATTGCATAGGTGACTGGGAGAGGGATCATAACCACTGACGGTCTATCACTAGGAGCCCTTTCCCATGGTTTTACTTTGTCTTCTTCATGGTTATGATAATCCACCGCACACGGAGAGATATCGACAGGTGCCGACGGAAGTACGGCGAGGCTTGGAAGCAATATGAGAAGGCTGTTCCATACATCTTCATCCCGGTAAGTCCATTTCCACCGCAGGGAAACACATATGCTAACGGATACACAGTATGTTATCTAGTGGGTTAGTCTTTCAGAAGGATTATCATATCATCCTCTGTGGAATACTGGCATAGTAATTCTACATGTAAACAAAATTCAATGTTGGCAAAGGCATCATGTAAGATTCTAGCGCAAGACAGAAAAGCACCTGATTTTCCTTATCCTGGCCCTGAAGTTTTCTGTAATGGTATCTCGGGTACATATACAAAAGATGTACGCCTAGTGCAGCCAAAACAATATACCGACATTCGTACTGTCTTTTAGTGCAACCGGCTTCAATCCCCCGGGCAACAGATACTGGGCAAACCTATGCGAGAGTAGGTATCATAACGAATATATCGGCTTTGGTATGTATTTCGGATAATATCTAATCTTATAGCTATTATTTTCGGTAAGAGGAGTGTCCTACTTCACATGGAGCCGTATTAGCTTACTCTGTACATCCATCAAAGTGTTTGTTGTCCTGATATCAAAAGAAGGACCTAGGGTACCTATTCCTGTCTTATCCAACTGTCTTGGGAAGAATTATATATCCACGAACAAATCGTCATGGAGTATCTCAAGGTGAATCCTTACTTCGATAGCAGTAAATTGATTTGAATAGCTGATGAGTCAACAGAGGCTTTCTCGATATCACCTATGTCCAATCTGTGACTGGTGCATAAGAGACTGGAGTTCTCGTACTCCGGCAGCACAGCATATCATGCCAGGACGTGCTCCCATCGTTCGATCGTAATCTTAGGGAGGCTGCCGTGTCCATCAGCATAGGCCTCTTCTGTGTATGTATATCTGCTGCTTCATGAGAGCCTCTTCCTCCACCAACCGGTTAGCGAGATGAGATTGTCGTGCCAACAGCCCTTGGGACCTGGGTCATATAACTAATAACTTGTACTCCGTAAAAGTACTGTGTTATATCGAATGCCTCGGCCGACAATTCTAAAACAACGCCCCTCAACGGTGATATACATGTGTTCGCCCTTGTTTCACTCACTGTCATAGCCAGTACGGCGGTCGACATGCCAGAGACGTTGGGTGGAGAAGAGCGTTATAAAGATATCCGGCAGCATCGACAACCAAACAGAAGATGGAGAAGTTGAAGAAAGCCGCTGTAGACATGGGCTTACCTGCAGAGGAGGGTTGTGATATGTATATTTATATCATTGTTGGGATTCCAATTCTGCAACGGCGTGGAACACTTG